TCTATTATTTCCAGATCTAAATCTTTTTAAATGAATAATCAATAATTATGGAGCTCTATAAATTTCCATCTATTTTGTAGCTTATACATGTTGTTTACATTTGTTACAATACCATTCATTACCTTTACCTAAAGTTTCTTCTTTAGCAAAAGATCTTAAACAATCTTCTAATGTATATTCTCCTTTTCTTAATTAACTATTTTATTCAATATTAAAATCTTTGCATCTTTAGAATTTCATATTATATAATTCTGATCTTCCAAAAATAGGATTTAATACAACATTAATTGAAAGAATTTTAGTATTAAAATTTTCAATAGGATCCTGATTAAGGTAATCTAATGGTTTACCTCTATATAGTAATTTGTAGAGTTCAACTTTGAATAATTTAATTTCTTCAATAAATTCTTCTAATGTTTCAGGGGCACCCTAACAAAATTCTTCAAGATTTATTCCTTCATTTAATAATTAATCAGCAAGTTCTTAAATAATCAAAATGAGATGGTATTTAAATTGTTGATAAATTTTAAAGTATATATCAATAATTTTGTTTTTCTTTTCTAATACAAATTATCTAGGGAAAGTTATGATCTATTCATTATAATTTGATCGATCTGTTTTATTACAATAATAGAAATCAACATGAATTTAATCATCTGATAATTAATAAAATTCTTTTTCAATTTAAAATACAAATAATTAACCTTCATGTTCTTAAATCCATTTAACATTTTATTTTTTTTTAATTCTTTCCCTTATCAAATGATCTTTTAATAAAATAAAATTCATTTAATCTTATTCTATATTTAATGCTTTTGATAATTCTTATCCAATAAAATTAGCATCTTAATCACTAGTAAGATTAAGTTATATTTTTAAAGGTATTTTCCCATTTTAATATATAAAATACAAGGATAATTATATTAATGTATATGAAGGAATGGGAAGTGAAAGACTCATATAAGGATCAAATGTTTTAGAAACTCTATGACAATTTGGACAAATAAGAGTAGATTTATATTAACCCACCATTAATTATTAAATCTTACTTTAATTTCTAAGAATATAATTATTCCAAAATATTCTAGAAGCTTCAAAATCAGTTTCATTTGTAATTTCTATTTCATTAACAAATGGTTTATTAAGAACTTTATTAAGATCTTCATGTAAACCATCTAATAAATAAGATAGAAATTCATGTGAATCCTATTATCCATAACCATAAAATTATGGAGCAAATTTACCAATTACTCTTTTTAAATCATAAGCACTAACAGCTGAATTATTACCATACCACATTATTTTCATTAATTCAGCATAAGCAGTTGCCAAAACACCTTTTGTTCCTAATGGATTTTCACAATTTAAATGTTAATAGAATTCATTACTAACCATATATTCAGTTAATTCATAAGTATTACTTAAACATTATAAAGCAGCATTCATAAAACAAGTATTACCTAAATTTTATAAACCTGTTACACCTTTACGAGAATCATTCATTATCTTAGGAACATCAGATATATTCATTTTTCTTTTAAAAGTGGATTATTTCTTTTTATCAATTTCACTTATTTACCAATCTTTACCATATCTTATTTCACATATAAATAAATCTGAACTTGTAAAATTAATTTCTTCAATCATTATTGTTTTATCTAAAACTTTAGCAGATACTTATTTATATAATTCTCTTCTTTTTAATTTCTTTATAAAATCCTCTTGACTCTAATAATCATTAAACTTCCACCATCTAATTTCATTACTCAATTTTAATATTCTATTCATTTTCTTACATAAATCTAAAACTAAATCACTACTATTTGCTGTAATTATTCTAATTCTAATTTACTCTTCATTTGGTAAAATTATAAATTAGATCATTCTTGGTACTAACTATATAAATCTTATTATATTAATTACATCAACATATTTTTAATGAGTTTAACTATGTTCTACTATTAATCTTTTGATTTCAAATCCACCATAAATATTCTTAAAATATTCAAATATTTTATGTCCAACAAGTATAAAATCTGACCCTTCTCTTATATTTTCTTTTAATATGTAATTTGTATATGATTTTGGACCAAATGGATCTAAATCTAGAGCTGATTGAACTTAAATCAATTAAAATCCATTTATAGGACCTGGAGCATTTATTTATTCTTCAATATCAAGATCACTAGAAACATTAAATAGATTCTCTAAGACTTCTATTTCCTTTTCCATATTAAAGTTTTCATTTGGTAATTCAATAGATGTGTCAGTCACATAACTTTTCCACTTATTAAACCATCTTGTTGGTATCAGATATGCTGGCATACCATCCTATTCAAAATATTTAGTCTTTTTCTCTAATTCAGATAATCTTTCATAAGTTTCAAACTTTGATAAACAAATTCATTTACTTATTCTTTCAAATCAACATTTTTTTATTTGTAAGCTAGCATATTATCTAAATTCTCAATTAAATACAATAATGGTTCATTATATTTGATTCCTTATGCATATTTCTTTAATTGTCTAGACCAACTTTTTGCTTGTTGAATGTTATTTTAATCTATATATAAGTTTATTAAATCCAAAACTAGATTGAAATATTTATCATCATCTATTTCATCTTTATTCTCATCTTATTTTACAATTTCTAAGATTTTTATTTGCAAATTCTTATATCTTTAACTTTAACTAAGAATATGCTAAATCAAAAAAATTGTATCCAATTAAGGATTCTTGATCTCTTTTTTTAATATCTAAGTTAGATTTCTCAAGGCTTCTGCATACATCTGACGTTCAATTAATTTATAACATTCCTCCATTAGAAATTTTAAATAAAATTACAATTCTCTTAATCAAAGTTTTTGCAATAATATTTATTTAATTTATTCTACTGTTTTGGTTCCTTCAATAATAATATTCATAATAAATTATTTACATTTCAAAAGTTAAGACTAAAGTTTATAAGATTATTTAATCAGATTAGCAGTTTAGAAAATTTACTAAAAAGTAACAAAAACAGTAATTAATATTATTATCTATGATTATACTTAAAGACTTCCTAAACAACATTTATAAAATATTCAAAAAATGTGAATTCGAACTGATTTAATAAAAATTTATTATATGCATTCTTTATCAATATTAAATGGCAGGTATGTTGCTTAAAAGAAATTATCTTCTGGTAGTTTCGGTGTAGTTTTATTGGGACGTGATAAAGAAAACAACATTGATGTAGCCATTAAAATAGAAAAAGAAGAAAATCAAGAAATTAACTCTCTAGAAAGGGAAGTCTAGGTTTTATAAAGGTTAGCAAATACAGAAGGAGTCCCAAATCTCTATTGGCATGGAGAGTAGGATGACTACAATATCATTATAATATAGCTACTAGGAAAAGATCTTGCCTATTATATGAAATAGAAAAGAAGGTTTTCTGTAAAGACAGCGATTTAATTAGGAATATAAATTGTTAAAGTTTTGGAAAGAATTCATTAGAAAGGTGTTGTACATAGAGATCTTAAGCCTGAAAACATTTTATTTGGCTTAGATAATGAATCTTCTAAAATTTATGTTGTAGATTTTGGAATCAGTAAAATATATTTAGATAAGATCGGAAGAATCATGTATTATTATGCTAAAATTTAGACCCTTTCGAGATGGAACCTCCTTTATAGGAACCACTAGATATGCATCCATTGCTGCTCATAAAGGTTACGAATTAAGTAGAAAGGATGACTTGGAATCTCTTATGTATGTTCTATTGTACTTTATTAAGGGGTAGAAATCTTATAAATATATAAAGTCTAGGCAGCTACCTTGGCAAAATATGCAGAATGTTACTGATGAAGAGAGAACAACTAAAGTTGGAGATATGAAAATGACAATTGATCCTAGAGAATTATGCAAAGATGTACCCATTGAATTTCCAATTATTCTTGAGTATCTAATCAATTTATTTAAGATATTTAAAGACTTTACAGTATAGAAGTGAACCTGATTATAATTACATATACAATTTATTCCAAAAGTCAGCAGATGGCTTAGGAATTATATTAGATTATACTTATGATTGGGAAATACCTTCTCAAAGAAAGATCTCTGCAAATGAAATGGTAAAATCTTAAGAAATGAAAAGATCTACAACTCTTAATTAAGCTTTATTACCTCCAAATTAGTAAGAAATGAAGAAATCTCTTGAAAAAGGTAATACAAATCTCATGAGATAATCAAGTAATAATAATTTCTTAACACCTCCTTAAAATAATTAATTATAACCTCCTCTTTTGAGAAGATAAGATTCTCAATAACCTAGTGTTGCTTCAAATTAAGGTAGTGCTATGCTAAGCACTTATAATTCTAGAAGACCAAAATATGAAAAATCTTAAGTTGCTAATTTGGACTAATTTGAAGATGCAAAAAAAAGCATTGATAGTATTTAATTAGAAAATGGGAATCTAGATAAATTATAAACAGATGAATAAAAGTTTAATAAAGTACTTAATGAAAGTCTCTAAAAACCTTAAATATCAAATATTTAATAATCACATTACTGTTCTGAAACAGTGGGTTGGAAAGATTCAATATTTGAAGAGAATTATTTAGATGATCCTCTCTCTAAAAAATATGGATTACTTAAAAATAATGGAGTTGATATGTATTTTTTTTATCTATTATTTAGAGGCAAAAAACTTTCATTATAAAATAATAAAACTAAATTATAAAAGAAAAAGAATTGAAATCTATTTATATATAGCATTAAATTAATTATTTTTTTATCTATTTTTGAATGAGTAAGACAGACATGTTGCAGACATAATTAATAAATTAATTTAATAGTAAGAATAATATTAAATTCTTAAATATAAAAATTAAATATATTGATTAAATTATTATTAAAGGAAAAATTATTGTAAGATATTTACTGAAAGTTTGTAAATGAACACACTCATGTACTCATAAATATTATGAAATAATCAATTATAATTTATTTTCAATTTATTTCATTAATTTTTCTCATCAGATTCCTGGAATTGTTTGTATTGTTCATTCAAGATTTTCATTAAATTAATAATGCTTTCATTTTATTGTTCTAGATGTTCTAAAGGTATACTAAGATTACAATTTTCAAAATATTGGGCTATTTGAGAGTAGTGAGCTTCTTCAAGGCTTGTATATTTTAAAACTATTTACTTTAACTTTGCATTCAAAATGTTTGTATTCAGGTCATTGCATTCAGATTTATGCTTCAATTTTTCTATTTTTCCTGTTTATTTGTTAACAATTAAGATGTAAGTTTCTATTTCTTAATAAATTCGTTTATCTCTTGTCCTTTTTTTTCCTATTCTACCTTCACTTTGGTATACTTGGACAATTGCTTTAGCTGTAGAATACTTAATTCCTAAGTTTTGTGCAATCTAAATGATTTTATTATGGTTTAAACCTATCTTAAGGGTTATCCTTTATTACATGCTTGGTCTATAATTTATTATCTTAAGTTAGCATCTACCTTTTAATAATGTTATGGCCTATTGCTTTTCCTTCTAATTATTATGTTTAAATTATTTACTTGAAACTTTTACTATAATTTGATGGATCTAAGATCTCTTCACTTTCACTAACTTTGTTCATTTTGATATATAATAATTAATAAATAATTGTTGAAAATTAATTTGAAATTTGAGACAGAATATCATTAATCACAGTGTCATTTTGATATAAGTAATAAAAAAATATTTTGATTTTTTTTAAATTTTTCTTTAATTCAATCTAATATTAAATTTAATTCCCAAAGTTCAACTAAGTTTGTATATATGCTAAGTTTTGTTAATTCGATCTTTGCAATTATAATTCTACTAAATGCTCAAAAAATCCTTTGGCTTTTTTTGATAAGTATAAAATAATGGCATTAATTATAAACATATTTAAATAATTATTCTTTCATTCTTAACCTATTTCAATTTGAATAGAATAAGAATAATTATAATAGCTATTCCTATTATATTAATATAATTAATTTATTAAATTAAATAATGATTTCAATTAACATATCTATATAATTATGATGTAGTAATAAAGTAAGGTAAAAAAAAGTATTGTAAAAAAGTAATTACTTATATTAATAAAAATTCATTATAAAATAGAACTTATTTATAGTCTATATTTTTAATATATAAATATTGATAGGACAATTTAAATACTAATAATTTTAGTTAATAGTAAAATAAAAAATAAAATATAATTATTATAGAGTTAAGAAAATTATATTTTATGTAATTTCTAATTTTAAGGCTTTGATTCAAAATTTAAGATAATAAATAAATTTTCCCTATTGTTTTATTTTTATTTATATCCATTTTTCTTTAAAATATAAATATACTTAAATAAAATTTGTTAATAAAAATGAATCCAAATACACCTTTCAACGAAAGATTTGCTAAAATCTCTGATAAACTAAATTCAATACAATTATAACATGACACTTCTAAAGCACATAGAATAGATACTATTTGTGGAAGAATTAATGGTGTAGAGGAAAGAATTTAAGACACAATAACTTCTTACAATAGAAAACTTGTATGAATTTGATACTATATAATTATAGCACACATTAAAAGATGAAATAGTTCGTCTTTAAAAACAGATAGAGGAAGAAAATAATGCTTTCGAAACTTAATTTGAACAAAGAGTAAGAGAGGTTGCTGCCTTTGAAAGTAGAATAACAACTAAACTTGAATAAGAGATTGCTTTAAGAAAAGATGGTAATCTTAAATTGTAAGGCTACTTAGATGAAAAAGTAAATTTTTAGTTAAATATTAGGTTGTATATTTGAAATCTGATATATAAACTGAAGGAAAGATTAGATAAGAGTAAGTTGAAAATATAACAACTTCATTGGAAAATGATTTACCAAAATTATACGATATGGTTAAATAAGAAGGATAAGATAGAGAAGATAATGATAATGGTACATTGAGAAGAGCAGGAGATGAAATTAAACGATTGAATGAAGGTTTAGGAAATTAAAAGAAATTAAGGTATTAATAAAATAAATTATAAAAGAGAGGAATCAGAAGCAGCTATATTTGAAATGCTTAAAGATTTGGTTTCTAGAGTAAAGAGTGAAATAGAAGAAGAAAAAAAATTAAGGGAAGAATCTTAAGAATCTCTTTTAGGATTATTAGAAGATGCTTGCAATAAAATTTATAGAGCAGCTAAAGACTGAATATTTTAACATATATACATCCAAAATCAATTATTAATATACATAGTGTTTTTTTAATTTTAATGGAATTTTAACTCTGACATTTTGTCATAATTTATAAATAGTTTGACTTCCAAAAATTAAAATATTAAGATTATTATTATATCATCTAGATTTCTATTTATATTTTTAAAAGAATATATAAAATTTGTAATGATTTTTATATTGAATATTTTTCATCATATATTTAGTAATAATTAAAAGTTATATAAGTATTTTTAAATGATGAAAGGGGTTTCGTATTAAATGTTATTAGTAAAAATATTGAGTAAAATTTCCTTTTAGTATGAAAGAATATTTTATAAATTAAATTGATTAAGAATAAGTGAGTTAGAGTTTTAAAGGTTCTTTAAGTGGTTTTTTCATCTCAATTTTTTGTAAATTAATTTATTTTTATTAATTTCAGCTATCATTTAATGAAAACATCAAAAACAATTTCATCTAGTCGTGCACATCACTAAACGAGATCATTCATTCTCAATACATTGTAAAATTATATATTTATATTCTCTCTTTTAGGGACAAGTCTTAAGACTCTATTGTTATGAAGAAATCACCTTCTGAGAATAAGTTAGTCCAAACTTAAAAAGCATATATTATGATATAACCAAAACTTGTTGAGATATTTGATGAGAATAAGACTAAGAAAACAGAATTACACTTTGAGAACTCTATTTCTCAATTGAAAACAGTAGAAATAATATAAGGAAAGGGATAAGACAATAAAGAGACTCCAATTACCAGTGAAAGAAAATAGAATAGAAAGCCATCTATCAAGTAATTTAGTTAATTATATGTTTAGACAATCCTTGAAGATGATTACTTAACTTTGAAAGAAATGATTTTTATATTGAATAATTCTCATTTGAGACATTTCATATATTTTTTAAATATCCATATATTTATTTTTTAAATTTCTAAAAATGAAGCATAATTAACAACTCCCAAATGCCCATTTAAGAAAGCATTGGACAAGATTTGTTAAGACCTTCTATAATCAACCAGCTGCAAAGAGAAGAAGACAATAAAGAAGATAATCAAATGCATTAAGTATATAAATAATTAAATAATTAAAATAGGAGCATCTCCAAGACCAGTGGAATTACTTAGACCAGTTGTAAGAGGCTAAACAATTAAATATAATGGAGTATAGAAATTGGGAAGAGGATTTTCACTTATTGAATTGAAAGAAGCAGGACTTAATGCATAATTTGCAAGAACAGTTGGAATTGCTGTAGATCATAGAAGAAGAAATAACAGTTAAGAAGAATTAGCAGCTAATGTGAAAAGAATTAAAGCATATTTATCAAAATTAGTCTTATTCCCAAGAGTTGCTGGTAAACCAAAGAATGGAGTTGTAAAAGACTCAGCTAATAATGTTGTTGAACAACCATTTACTTAGAATACAAATCCAGAAGTAAAATAGAGTTTAATAATTTATAGGTCATCACTTTCTAAAGAACACCAAAGAGAGAAAAGGCAACTGTGATTTCAAAAGAATTAAGAGCTAAAAATGTTTACAGAAGATTAAGATAAGAATGGTACAATGCTAAATTTGTGGGAGTTAAAGAGAAAAGAAAGTAAGCAAAAGAAACCAAGAAATGAGTCAATATAATATAGTGTACATTTACAATAAAATATTTAATATAATTATAACATATGTCTATATCAAAATTCTTAATCCCAATTGATATTTGTTTCTTATTATATCTATTATTCAATATTTTTATATTATTCTGATTCTTCAATTACTTTGTAGATTGGTTTACCTTCTTATACTTTTGTCTCAATATAAGATTCATTTATCAATTTATTTTTAGGAGGAATATACTTAAGATATAAATAAATATATTTACAGGAGGTTGTAATTCATGATTGTATAGTTTATCCCAATCAAAATCATCAAACCAAGGATGAGATTTTAAATTGGCATATGAAGTACCTAATCTAAGAGCAGGTTATTTAGACAGTAATTATTCGATGTATCTTTTAGCAGATTCATCTGAAAAACGTTTAGGAAACTCTAATTCTCTATTAATGATATCTTCATATATTTCATAAGGGTTCTATTATATAATATCATGATTACATCAAAATTTTCACCATATGGTAATGATCCATATAGAAATTCATAACAACATACGCCTAAACTCCAAAAATCAGCATTATAAGAATAGCCTCCTCCAGCAAAGATTTCAGGAGCCATGTAGTGTGGAGTGCCTAGAATTGTAAAAGTTTTTTATTCATAAGAATTTTTAATTTGCTTTGCATTCCCTAGATCTACCAAATGCACTATCCCATCAGTATTAACCATTACATTTTCAGGTTTTATATCTCTATAAGCGATTCCATTTGAGTGGAAATATTCTAAGCATAAGATAATACTTCCAATATAATATTGAGTTTATTCCTTATTTAATAAGCCAATTTGTCTTATCACATAAAATAGATCAAATCCTTTAATATATTCTAAAAGAAAGTAAACAGCCTTTAAATCTTTATATGTTTTAACGAATTAATTTATATAAGGGAAATTACATATCTCTAAAACCATTTTTTCATTTAAAATGTATTTTTGTAATTTACACTCATAAATTTTAGATCTAGGTATACTTTTCAGAACATATAATTTATTTTACTCTTTGTGATTAACTAAATATATCGTAGCAAATTAACCATAACCTATTTTATCAATATAAATAAGATCTTCAAAATGGATATGAGAAGCATCTTCTCTAATAATAGGAATTTTTTATTTTTCTTCTTGTGATTTTGATTTCATTTATAATGATGTTACAAAATCTCCTCCTATAATTTTAAATATTTAAGTAAATGAAATGCTTGCTAAAACACCATCTGTTATCATCTAATAATCAATTAAAAACAAATCATTCTACTTGTTTTATAACAAAAATTAATCACCAAAACAATCACCTTTTTCTACTTTCTCATCACCACACTATAAAGTTCCTTCAAGAACTATTATTAATTAATCACATGTAGTATCTTTTTTAAATATAACTTATCCTTTTTTATAATTTTCTATATGAGTATTTAATAAAATCTTTTCTCTATGTATTTTTGTTAATTAACTTAAAATACTGCTTTTTTCAATACTCCATCTTATTAAATTGTTAAATATAAACAATTAAATATTAGATCCTAATATTTTAGTTAATTTATCTCTTCCTATTGTCAAACATTTGACTTCTGTTTCAGCTCTTACAGATGCTCCTCTTGTAATTTTTTCATATAAAGCTTATACACCAAAACTATATCCTGGACCCATAGTATTAATTTATTTATTCTCTTTAAAAACTCCAACTGTGCCTGATTTAATTAAATAATATGAATCTGCTTATTCTCCTTCATTCACAATCATTTATCCTGGTTCATATTTAGTTGTAATTAGTTATTGAATAATAATATGTTTTTATTAAGGTTACATATCAGTAATAAAGGAAATTTGATTTATAAACTATATGTTCTCTTCATACTCTGTTTTCATTATATGTTCAATAGCTTATAAAATAATTTATCTGTCAAGCCTCCAAAAATTACAGTCAGCTTAATATATAATAGATATAATTACTGATTGTTCTGATTGAAGCTTTTCTAATTGCATTTTAAAATAATGCTCTTTCTCCAAAATAATCTCCTTCTGACATCACTTTTACTTTTTTATCATTAATTATAATTTCAGCCTATCCTTTATGTATAATTATGAAATAAGTAGTCTATAATATATATTGCTTATATACTTGATCCCCTTATTACATTATAAACTAATCACTTTTCTATGTACAGTAAACTAAGTTTTTTATAAGAAAACTGATAGCTTATTGAGACAAATTAAAAAGTTCAAAATGACTCTTTAAACTTTTTTCTATCATTAATTAATCATAATCTATAATAATATAATATAATACTCTAAATTTTTTGGTCTAACTGAACAATATTTTCCACTATTTATTAATTTGTTTCATTTTCATTATAAATCTAAACTTGTATTATTTCTCTTTCATTTTCACTTTGAGCATTGTTATTTTAATTCTATTTATGAAATATTTCTAAATAAGATTCTTCTTAATTATTATTTTCAATTAAATACTATAAATTATTAAACAAATTCTTACTTTAGGAACATTATTACCCATAATAGTATCTAAATCTGTGTCAAAATCTGTATTATTCGCAAGAGTTCCGGTACAATTACAACCCATTTTATCCATAAATTTATTTAAAATAAATAAAAAATTTATAAATGAATAAAAACCCAAGTATGAAAAAACGTATAAATTTGTTACTTTGACCATTATTGAGATTAACCATCAATTTCTATTTTGATAATTTCTGATTAATAGTTAATTAAGTATCAAATATGATATATTATTCACTCAAAAAATCTTTTAAAAATCATTTTAAATTAATTATGAATTATTAATACATTCTTTTTGTAATTTTAAACTTATAAAAATAAATTATGATTCCAATTATATATATAAAAGAATAAGATCAATTGATTATTGATGGAACTTATTATAAAAAATATCGAGTGGCTTTAGGTTTTAATTTTGAATTATGTAGAGGTATGAGATCAATCATTAATTTACTTTTCAAAACAGAGCAATGCTATCGTTTAGGCTTAAATTCTATTTTTATTTTATTTAATTGAAATTAATTTTATTTATAATTTTCTATTATTTTAGAAAATAATGCTGATTTTTCTGTTTCTGATGAATAATATTGTTAGGATTATTAAAATTACTATGTTTATTATTATTAAGGATTTAGGAACATATTTTAACTTTTAAAATTAGTTTCACTCATGGGAACGTTTTGTGAAATGCTTCTAAATTTTACATTAATTGAAGGCATTTTACCTAGATTATTATTATTATTATTTATGCTATTGTTTTTGAATGGACTTGTAGGAGCATTCTATTTAATTGATTTATTAGATGGTTATGATGGTTTTGTAGGAGATGATTAAGTAGATAATTAATTACTTGGGATTAATTATTATAATTTTATCTTTTATAATTTTTATTCAATCTTATTATTATATATTTCTTGATCCAAATTAAGTGACCAATTTAATGATTATTTGATATGTTGATTTTATTAAAGTAACTAATTAAATATTCTATCCATATTTTAATCTCTATTTTAGAAATATAAGATTTATTCATCTTGACTTCTATATATAAAATATTATTATATACTTATCAACATTGCTAATCACATCATATAATTTAGGAAATACTTTTAAATAGTAATTATTCAATTTCTTATTATTTTTCATATTAACTTGCCAATCATTTTATATATTCTTTTTATTTGTAACTTAAACTGAATAAAATTGATTCTATAATTTATCTTCATCATTGTTGTTATCTTGACTATGTATCTTAATATTGAAAAAGAATTACTCTTTTAACTTCAATCTTTTGATTTTTATTTGTTAATATTTCTATCTAAAGCCTACATTCACCATATATAGTTTAAATTAATTGACAAATAAGACTATTCTTGCCTTCAAAAGTTTAAGTTAAACAATTATATATTGATGGTTAAAATTTAGATTCTTTACATCTTATAATTTATCTTTTAGCCACCATCAATTAGAAAGCTTCTGATATTCTTGCTATAAATCTATTCACCAATCTAAAGTATAATATTTCAGTCATACTTTAATTCTTATTCATTGATCGTTTAATAATGATAAAATTGATTCATTAACCTTGCTTCTTACATTGTATAATACTGATAAAGTTCATTTAATTCATTTTATGATTTTTGTTATAAGAAAGCCATAGCACATAATTCCTTAAATAAAAAGTTCAAAGTGTCTTAACTAATTTCCATTTAGTAAATTATAAAATAATAAATAAATAATCTTTTTAAGTTATATATATATATTTCTTTGTATTTTTTATAACAAACCAATATAAATAATGGGTATGCTCATTTTTGTTTCTATTTCTTAATATTTTTGAGTAATAGTAAGTTAATTTAAGTAAAGAGTTAAACTTTTATTAAAAACTAATTAATCTATTATAATGGTTTTATATTTTAATATAGAAATTAAATCTATGATATTTAATTGATAATTTCATACATTTATAATTTCTTAAATATTTTTAAGAAGATCAAATTTTTATCATTAATAAGTAAATTTGTCTTATTGATTTTAATGATGATAATAAAATAATTGAATTTAAGATTCTTAAATAAAATACTTTAATATGAGATTGTTTTTAATCATTAAGATGATTAAATATATAATTGTTATAAATATTATTAAAGTTTTTCATATATATAAATCAAATACCAAATATGTCCTTTTTTATATATTTTTTTAATTTTGTCATTGATTTGTAATCTGTAGCAATTTCTCTATGCAGAGGATGATAGTTTGCATCACCTATACAGTATAAATAGGCATAGGAATTAATTTTTTCTCTCTTAAGAGTATATTAGCAAGATCTTTAGATTAAATTTTACATTAAATCTTAAGGTATTTCTTAATCTTAAATTTTATCAAACCATATAATAAAAGCATTTAAATCATCCATTTAAAATATTTAATTTCTATAAATTTCGAGAAATGAACAAATAATAGCTGATATTTAAAATATATTTGTTGCTAAAATAAAATCCCAGAATCTACATACATTATTTAAATGAAAATTGTATAAAAACATAGTCATTATTATTTTAGTAAGCCAAAATGCATTAGAAACTTCCAATTTAATATAAATATGATTATGGAGATCAGGTATCTTAACTTTAATTTCTTATTAGCAAATATATTCAAGTAATTTTAATAATGGCATTTCCTCTGAAAATAGATAATAAATTAAGAATTTAGGATTGAGCATTATTTAAGCCAAAAATTAAAGACTTTAAATGACATTTTTATTATTAATGATCAAAGTAAAACCTGCAAGAAAATTCATGCCTTAACAATAACCTAATTTAGGAAATAATTTAGATAGTTTAACTAATACTTTTTCAAGATCTTATTTGCCTTAACCAGTTTCAAAGTATTTAATATCTTTAGTTGAAACAGTTCTATGTGTATCTTTTTTAATTGCAAAAACTTATTTTTTATCTTCATCAATATAAGATAAATGATCAGATTGAATTGAACATTTGGGAATGTAAGCCATTAATTACCAACAAGACCATCTCATTCTTTATTTTGGAGGCCCTCCAATTAGTTTTATTCTAAAAAATAAATGATGACAATTACTTAAATTCATTTTTTTTCAATACATAAAAATTAATGATTATCATATCTAAAATAGAATTACAATATGGATAATTCTTTTGATATTCATTAAGATCTTATTAATCAATAGTTGAAGTCTTACAATCCTCAATATCATCAACATCATCAATTTCAGAAAGGTATTTAGTAGATACCTCATTACATTAAAAATCTAATTAACTTATTAATACAGATTCATGTAAACTTTCAAGCCAATCATTTAGTGTATTAGTTTATATTTATTCATTAGAATGTGTTATAATTAATGATTATTTATCTGTTGATTCTAAATTTGCAAATTATTGAACTTAACATACTTTTCTCTATTTATTTTGATTTATTGAATTAATCTATACTTCACTCCTTTCTGCAGTACATAAAGTTTAATTTCCCATTTTTATAATAATAATTTTACATAAAATACTATTTCTTATTCTAAATTTTAAAGACCCTCTTTATTGTTATATAATTTATATATCATTCAGTATAAAATTGATTCAATATCAATTATATTTTATATATAATAATTCATTGTTAAAGATGCTAACATAGTAAAACTAATATATAATCTATACACAATATTCAATTCATTTTATTGATTATAATAAGTTGGTAATAAAATTCCCCATAGTTTTATTTAATTTCTATTGCTTTTTCTTACCTAAAATTACATAGTTGCAATAAAATTCTTTTTTTTATTCAAGTTAATCTAAAGTCATTTTAAAAAAATCAAATATTTTTCCAATATGTACACAAGAATTAGTTAGTAATTTTCTATTAAAAGGATTGAAAATCGTTATTGGTAATTAAGGTAAACAATAATCTTATAAATTAAAGAAATAACTATTTTATATTTAATAATTATACCTTGATTATGGATTTTTGATATCAGCTAAAAGACCAATTCCAGTTGTTGAAGAATTGAACTCATTAACAAAATACTTAAGAAAATCTATGAATTATTCTCCTATTTAATTTTATGCTATTCTATTTTCTCTTAGATAAGAATATACCATAATTATTAGAGAGTAAGAAGAGAGTCCACCTTTATAATAAATATATTTATTATACCAGTATATGATTCTGATAAACCTAATTTCTTTATTATACTCTTTAAAATCAATACTAATTATTATATAACTGGATATTCTTTCATCCATTATTTAACTAAATTTGTAGTAATAAAACCAGAATGTAGAGAATCATATGTACTTCCACTAAAATTAAATGAGATATCCACTTTTATGCAACTTTTTATTTTTTATTTAAGTTTTTTCCATTTATGAATATCTGTTTCATTTAGATTTCTACCTTCAAATTCTGTCTAAGAAACTTGAGGATCTATTTCAAGTTTAATTACTGGAACCACTGAATTAAAAATGGGACTAAATTTTAATATATAGAAATACTTAGATTTTATAACCCATTTTCTTTTAGAGAATTCAAAAAATAAATTATCAAAAAGAGCTTTAATGATATTTCTATTCATAGGTTAAAATCCACTTATTCCAATATCAATATCTGAATCAATTAATGCTAATCCAGTTGCACAAGAACCAAATAATCTTATTATTGATTATATAATTACTATATCATATCATCAGGTATTCCATAGAAAACTTTCTAAATTACTAATTTAATTCTATCAAAAGTTAAAAGTCTAAATGGTAACATTTCTTCATAATCATTCATAATATTATCAGTGAATTCTAAAATATCAAAATTGATCTAATCAATTAATTTCTATTATGCTTTTTATTAGACATTTTCTATTTATTCTTTTAAATTGTTATCTTATGTTTAATTAGAAGATGAAATTGATTCAGTTTCTTATTATTCAAATTAACATGCAGATTTTCTTGTTTTCAATCTTTATTTTTTTTCTTCTTCTGATGTAGAAGCTGTTCTATTTGAACAAAGACTTTTAATAGTTTAAGCTTAAGTTTCTACAGAAAATCTTGTAATTTCAGATTCTGGAGATTATAATTACATTTATTCATCTCTACTTTCTGGTATAGATCTCCAAACAGTTTTTTATTTCTTCTTAATCTTTTTTTTCTCTCTTATTACTTCTTCTTTGTAGACATTTTCATCTATCAAAGATTAATATACTGTATTTAAAATATGTTATGTTAGAGACTATGTATATTCTACAAAATCATCATTAGTAGGATTTTATGAATTTTCTACAAATGCTTAAGATATATTTTCTTAACCTAAATCAATTATACTTTCTAAAACTCTTTTTTAATTTTCATTGTTTTATTATTTTTGATTTTAAGATTGATAGCTTTGAGAATTAATTTCACTTAAAAAAATAAATAATAATTTTTACTTTTGATCATCACTATTTTCCCAAGCTGAAGGTGTATTTGGTGGAGTTACATAAGAATAAGCAAAATTATTTTATGAATATGATCTTTAGAATCTAAGTATATTTGAGTCTTATAAATTCTTACTAGAGAGACGTTGATTCAATTCTATAGGATCTAGAGTTTTTTTATATTCAATTTTTTCAGATTTTTTTTTCTTTGATTTTTTTTTATCTTTTTTCTTTTTAATTGATATTTCACTATTAAATAATTCATTCTCCAAATGTTCTTAAAATAATTGAATAACAATTTAATAAAATTTCTTCAGGAAATATGTCTTCTAATCTAATAAATCTGACATAGAAAAAATTAGCATAGAATTAATAATATTAGGATCAGAGTGACATTTTTATTAAAAATTAAATGAAAGTTCAACTTAAGATTTTATTAATTTAATAGCTGTGCCTGAAAATATATTTTCATAAAAAATATTTTCTATTTCATTTGGATGTTCTTTAATATCTGTATATATTTATTCAAAATAATAATTTAGCTAATAAAATTATTTAATATATTTACTTTCTCTTTATTGTTAGCTAGATTTCTTTCAAAATATTCTTATAAATCTTTTGAATTATTTTTATTTATCATCTATTTTTATAATCTATATTTTTTCTTTTTATCTCTTTGAATATTGTAATAAAAATTAATATTTTTCTCAAATTCCTTTATAATCCAGGCTGAACAACTATGAAAGCTATTTTAATGAAACCAAACAGGATCTTCTGCTTTTTCTAAATTTGCTTTGGGAGAAGTAGAAAGAAAATATTTATCACTAATTTCATCTAACAATTCAATAAAATTATTTAAATTTTCTAGATGAGGTTCACTCACTATAATTGTATCTAGAAAATTTTCATCATCAAAAATCATCAACTTTTCATATAATTCCTTAATTGTTTAATTATATTAAATACATCTGTTTTTTTGTGAAGTACTCTTGTTTTCATTATAAACTAATCGTCAATTTTAGACTCTAATTTAATTGTAGCTCTATAAATATTTAATTAATATTAACTGTTGAAGAAGTGCATAATTTGAAGGTTGAAATTGTTTATCATGTATATACATTTTCAATATTGGAAATGTTTTTATTTATCCTTTTATCTGAAATAGTTTATACAACTCAGATTATTCCAAAGTGAATAGCCTGTAAATATATCAAAACAAAATATACCATTATACTACTTCTTGCTTATAAGTTGTAGCAGCTGAATTTTGTTCTTGAATGTTCTCTGCATACAAATTATAATATATTTGTGGACGATAAGGATACATGCAATAATTATAGGGCTGAAGAAAATTCATTTAATTTATCTAATTCATTACCTATGTTAATAATATGATTACTATTATCTCTTTGAATATATTCTGATAAATTTAGTTTATATTTTTAATATTATAATCAGGAATCTTAAAACGAGAACATTTATTAATTAATATAAAATAAAGATTTATCAATTATATATATTTACAATTAATAAAATAAGATATTTTAAGAGTATAATTAGTTTTGATCTGAATTTTATTAGAGTATGTTAAATTATAATGAAATGAATTTATTACAGCTTTTTATGAACAAGTGAATAAACAATATAATTATTTAATATTCTAGAAAAATTTCAATAATCTAATTATGTTAATCATTTTCATCCATTTTCTTTGATTGTAAAAACATAAGAATGATAAATTTATATATATATATATAAATTCTACATACAATTATATTAAACAAAATAAGGATATACTAATTTACCTTTTAAATTAATCAATAATCAAATAACAAAATAAAATACTATTAATAATTATGAATTAAAATCCTTATTCACATTTAATTAGATTCATCAATTATAAAATTTACTTGTTAGAATACTTCTTTGAAAGGTCTCTTATTAGAGTTTTTAATAAATTATTTATCGATTTCTTAATTGAATCTTTATGTTTTAATTTTTTTATTTCTTTTTAGATATTCTCTTTATTAAATGAATTTCATTTTCTCTTTTGGTTTAAATGTCAATAATATATTCTATTTTATTTATGTCAATGGACAAGAAATACTCATATGTTCACTTGATTGACAAGTATAACATTTGATTTTAAAATGTTGTAATTTATTAAGAAAAAGGACCTCATATTTTATTTATTCGAATAAAGCCACTTATTTTAAATTATGTTACAGAGCCTTTAAAAAATTATTTCTTTCTAAATAGATCAATAAAGCATGCTTATAGCTTCTGGCAGAAGCTATTATTATTTAATATACTACCTTAACGTTTCATTCCAGTTACAAAAGAATAGTGTCCAAATGATTCTTTTGATTTTAATTTAGCAATAAGAGTTTCTTCTTTGTTAGATATAGGTAAATTAAAAAACAATTAGATACAACCCTTTTCAATAAAATACAAAGAACAATCATTATCAAAAACATTATCTAAAAAGATATTTTCATGAGCACTAAAAAATGCCTTATAATATATTAAATTATAATTTACTTCTTTAGTTTCTTAAGCTATTTGAGCTATTATTTCTCTATCAAATACATTTAACCATAAATTAGTATAAACTGAAGAATATGCTTAATCCATTAATTTAGTTTTCAAAGATTTTGGTAACATTCCAAAAGTCTAGAATTCTAATTCAGTATTTCTATAATCATAAAAGATTTCACTATTCAATAAATATTTTAATATAAAGTTTCTTGTTTATTTTGAGATTAAATTTTATCTCATAAATGCACTAATAGCTATTTTATTTTTTAATTGTTCTTTTTGATTAGAAGATGCTCTAATAAATGCAATATTTGTAATATTAATTGCTGCAATCATTATGGCAGAAATAAGAGCTAAATCATTAATAAACCATTCCATATTGTTTAATGGGTAGATATCTCCATAACCTACAGTTGTTATTACATTAACTGCCCAATAATATGAGACTAAATATTATTTTGAATAATGTAATGTTATAATAGATCCAAAATGACTTTTGGGATCATTTAACCATGTCTTTGTACCAGGATAATTATAGTACATATATTCACCTCCTGCAAAATACATACAAGCCCAAAAATGTTATAAATATAGAACTTCTATAAACATTTTAAAAATTAAATAAGTATTATATTTAGATGGATAAAGTTTTAATCTTTCTTAGATTTATTTTTCTATTTAAAAGAATGATACTGCCTTAAATAAAATGAGAAGATAAACTATAGTGTATGTGTAAATGAAATCAAAATATAGTAATATTAGAACTGGTATCATATCAAATACAAAGTATGAAGATAAATATCTCATTCCTATCTATTTTCTAGATGTTATAAGAGCCCCAAAAAAGTAATAATTAATATTAAATTTTAAAATGACATCTAAAAATAAGATTGCCTAATTAAATAATATATTAATACCATATAATAATATCTCATTCCTTTAAAAAAAGGGTTCATTTTAAATGAATCATAATCTATATAAAAGAAAATGATTAAAGGAACAAGAGTAAATAATATCAAAGTGTTGATAAAAATGAAATAATTCCATATATCAACAAATGAACTAGAACAATTTATTATTGGTAATGCTCTTAATATTTTAAATTCCTTCTTTTGATTTGCTTCATCAATAACATCTCGAATTATTCTTAAGGGATCTACTTTAGTCTTCTCCATTCTCATAACAAAAGGGATAAATTGCATCTTCTTATAAGCTTAACATTTGTGATCAATATCTAGATTTTAATAATCCATTTTTAAGTCAAATTTATATTATAAAAAATCTTTTGGAGCATTTTGAGTATCATGACGTTTAGATGATCTCTTAAACTTTTATCTTTATTAAATTGTCACTTAATCAAAATCTTAGATCATTTCTTTAATATTAATTTATTAGCATTATTATGTCAAATGACATGTACTTTTGCATAATAAACAATACAATCCTATAGTTTCAAGTTTTTTTTCATATATTACTTAATCATAGATCTCTTAAAATTTTTGATAATCTTCAAAGGAATTTTATAAACATTAAATCATATCCTATCTAGATATATAATATAAGATAGCATAGGTTTCTGTTTTAGCAACTTTAGATTTTTAACGAATTCCAGTTACAAATTCATAATTTCCAAAACTACCTCCTTTTTCAATAGATTTAATTAAGACTCCATTTAATGATAAATTAATTTTACCATTTACTACTATATATAATTTTGGATCATAAATGTCTTATTCTATAATTTAGTCAGCTCCTAGACATAACTATATATAGAAATAATTTATACTTCTTTAATTTTACATGCAATATCTTATAAACATTATAATGAAAATCGATTAAATAACCATTCTATTTTCAATAATTAATTTTAATAGGCTTAGTATAACAATTTAGATTATAAATGTTTAGTTAATTTTCTCATTACATCTTATTCTGATTTTTAATCCCTTCTCTTATAATCATAAAAGTATTATTCAAGAAAAATTGATACTTAATTTACAATATCACTTGAAATGTTTTTTATTCTCATGAACTTTTTTATGGCATGCATATTCTTATCATATGGATTTTTTTAATCTTAAAGAGATACAATATAGGAGACTGTATAAACAATTACAAACATCTATCCAAAGAGAGCCAAATCTGTAATAAAAATTTCATATGTATTAACAGGAGTTATGTCTCCAAATCCTATTGATGTTAGAGTTTCAACTGCCCAATATGTAGATATTATATATTTAGTATTTCTTGATTGATCTTTTACTATAATTCCACTATAACTCTATGAAAAATCAAGCCAAGTTTATTCATCTGAATCCAATCCTATCAATCCCATTAAATAAAAGAGACAACCAAAACAATTAAATACAAATAAGAGTATCACTATTAATCTTAATACCTTATATACAAAATATATTGATGCATGATGAAGTAATTATTATTAAGTATAAGTATCAGCATCTATTAATGATATTACTTTCAAAAATATCAAAACTGCTATGTAATTTGGCAAATAAAATAATGTTTAAAACAAAACAAAAAATGCAGGTAAAAAGTCAAACCAAAATATAAATAGTAAATACTTTTTCGAAAATTCATTGTTTTTATTTATGATTACATTTTTATCTATAATTTGTTAAACATTGAATTTTATAAAAATATCTGCAAATAAAACGATCTAATTAACTATTATCTAAATACAATTATTAACAGTCTTATTAATAAAAAAATTGTTCCTTTATTTTAAAACTTATATGATTGCTCATCAAATAAAGCTAAGGATACTTATACAATAGCATATAAGCTAAAGATATTAACAATAGTTTTCCACACAACATAACTAACGCCTTAAGTAAATAAAGAATTTTTCTTTTTCTCTATTTAAATTTGCATAAAATTTTTAATCTAATAAATTTAATAATATAGAACAATTTATTCTAATTAAAATTATATTGAATAATATTATATATCAAAGTTCATTAATAATATAAATTTCCATTCTTCTATTCTCATGAGCACTATATAGATATATCCCATCATATAACACTTTATTACATCCATATGGATTTAAAATTATTTCTTATTATTTTTTTGGTTAATTATCTAATTTCCAAATAGATATCTTTCCTTCCTATTCGAAACCCATTAAACCAACAAATAGGTATTAAGATATTGGATCAAAAAATAAAGATTAAATTGAATAATCATCTTCTAAATTTCTAATTTCTTATATTTTAGGATAAGACCATATTTTAATACAATTATCCTTTGATCCACTTATTAATATTTAAGTATTCTATTAATTTTAATTACTAATTAATAAACTCAAAATTAAATTCTTATGACCTATTATATCCTATTATTTATTTTTTGTTTTAGTATCCAAAACAATAATATTTTTACCACTTCCAACTATAATAAGATTTTTATCTGTAGCTATTGCACTAACTCTACCATTAGTTTTGAATGAATGTTATAATTATCCATCAAAATCCCATAATTTTACAGTTGTATCATCTGATCCTGATACTATATAGTTTCCCAAAAATTCTACACATCTTATTCTCTCTGAATGTCCTTAACAAACAAATGCAATTTTCCAAGAAGGAGAAGGTTTCCATATTCTAACTGTTTTATCTACTGATCCACTAGCTATTATTCTTTTTTAAGAGAATGCAATGCATAGAATTTAATCTGTATGATCTTTTAATTCCATTTTTAATTATTTAGTTCTCCTTACTAATATATTCATAACAATACTTATCCCAAATTTTTATGGTCATATCTTTAGAACATGTAATTATTTTATCATCATCCATAAAACATAAATCCTTAACACTTTTATCATGAATTTTTAATGTTATGTCTTTATCAATTTTTAAAGGATTTGGTAAATTTTATGTTATTTTTATTTGAGGAAGAACTATTGATCTAAATAATATTCAATAATATACTTTGAACTAATAAAAGAAATATCTTATTAAGATTTATTTTCATTATATATTCCTGATATTGCTGATTAAGTTGACTATTTCATACCATTTTAAAAATTGTTTGTATCCTATTCTCTAATAAGTGTACTTTATTAAGGTGTTTAAATTTATTAAGCTATGAGATTTTAAGAATTTTAGAATTTTTAACTATTATCAAAATTTTAAGGTTGATTTATTTAATTTTTTTACAATTCAAAATAAGTCTCATTTTATTATTAAATTGAATTTTATTATACTTATTTCTCCTCTTTTATTGTAAATTATGCTTTTATATTAGAAGGTTATTTCTAATGAAATTAACTATTTTCTTTTTGAGTTAAAGTCTATTAATTTGTAAAATAACCAACAATTTATTATTCTTATGGAGTAAATCTAATTTAATTCTATTTTTGATTAGATTAATCTATTTTTTCTGATTTCTCAAATTAAGATAGATTGACTTCAATATTTTATGATTTTTAAGTATTTTTTAGGGTTTCAAGTTACTTAAATTAATCAAATGAAGTATTCTATTTAAATTAATCAAATGAAGCATTTTATGATTTTGCTTTTGATCTGTCACCTTCAATTCTACTTTACTTGCTTGATGACTTATCTATTTCAAATGGTTTAGTAATTTTGAATGAATTTTATGGAGATAATTATGAATCTTATTCAGTAAAATAATTTTTTAGTTTAGAATTATTAAATGAACCAACTGGCATCAAGTCTCTTTAAAGTAATTATTTAGAAAGAGGTGATTAATTCATTTATTTTTATTAGAATATTGGTTCTTTAGATTTATTTGATCTATTAGATAATTAAGGTGATAATTCCCTCACTTCACTTGATAGATTAGATTTATTATTTATTATTTATTAAGATTGTTGTGAAGGTTAATGATGATGTTAAGCTTAGACTAATTTTTAAGGTAATTATAAGAATTAGGATTTGATATCCTTTTCAATTTCAATTATTTGCTCAAAGAATTGTTCTAAATATTCTCTATCTTTTAATTAATCTCTTTATACTAATTCAATAATTTTTGATTGATATTATTGAGGACTCATTTTCTCTTATTTTAATTATTTCATTATTTCCTTTTTTCTTTTTTCATCTATAAAATTTACATCTATTTATAAAGATGAAATTTTATCATGAAAATATTATTTCATTTATTCTAATTTTTACAATATTTATGCTTAATATTCCATATTTAAGTATTTTGTATAATCATTCAAATATGTTTCCAAATTTTTTATGATATGAGTTTTATGAGTATCAACACATTTGTCACATAATGGTCCTTTCTTAGTACAATCCTATTGAAGACAAACCTAAGTAAACATAGACTAATGCAGTTAGCAATAGTATTACATAATTTAACAAAATTTTCAACTTTTTAATAATAAGAAAGATTAACAAATATTAATTGTTTCATGAATGTTTGAATATCCTAAAACTTTGATTTAATTTTCCTAGATTAATTCTAATTATGATAAGCATTTACTTCAATTCTTTGTATTTATTAAATAGTACAATTTGAATCCTACAATATTTAATTGATATTATACTTAACTAAACACTGAAATCATCTTTTAATCAATAAATAATGTATTCAGAAAGAAAAGTGAAATTAACTCTTCATTTACCTTAATTAGAATAAGGTGTCAGGTTTGAATCAGAAGCTTAAACAACAACATCAAGATCAAGTATATATTTTGTATTTATAATAGGAATTCCATCAATCAACAAAGCTCAATAAACTGAAAAGAGATTACATAAACATACAGTCACTGAAATAAGTAGTCCTAATTAACTACATTTATATACTCCAAAATAAGAGAGTTTAAGAGCCAAAAGACTTAAAAACATACCTTATTAATTATAATGTTTTATTCCTAATCTGCCTAACAAAAACTTTAAATCTAGCCATCTAATGAGCAACAAATTATTAGAAATACCTAAAAGTACACTCTATAACAAAGATAAATGGCAATTAAATATGCATAAAACTAGAATGAATAATGCTTTTAGTCTTGGTTAAAGTAAAAGAATGGAAAATTAACATATAAAAACAGAATAACAAGAAGAGCATAATCAAATTAGAAGATAGAATACAAATTATATTGAAAAAGAAAAAATTAAAGTATTACAATAATATATTGTTAGAGACTCAACAAATAAAGAATTGACACTCAAAAATTAATTGATTAATTTGCTTCTTAATTTAATTCAAGTGTAAAACTCGATCATCTAGAATGAATCCTTTGAAACCTATATTAATATAATCTTTTTTATAATCTAAAATCTATATTTTTATATATCAATCTCTGTTCCTTTTAAAGTTTGTTAAACTTTTCAAATTTAATTATAAATAATCAAACTATTTTAAATCAATTGATTCTTGAATTATTATGGTACTTGCAATAAATAATTAAGAAACGAAATAGAAATTTTTGATTTATTGTAAGCAAATCTTTTTAAAAGAATAAAAATTTATATTAACAGAAAATTCATCAGATTAAGAAGGAGTATATAGAATATTCTTAATATCTTTTCAACATATTCTTTATCCAATAGATAACAAATCTGTTTATTTTTTTTATATATTTTTATTTCTTTGTGCATATATTTGAAAATTATGATACTTTAGATGGGAATTTTTAGTAAGAAATTTAATGATCAATTATTGAAATTTTATCTCATTCTTTTTTATCTCTAGACCTATAGAACATCTATTAGTTTTCTAATTTAATATATTAAGATATAATTTTAAAATTAATTACTAATAAGATATGTAAATTGTATATCTAATTGTTTTTTAAGCTTTAAAAAATGAGTATAAAGATTTGTTTATCATGAAATATAGAAGATCTTATATTTGAAATGTAAATTGCATAAATGTATAATTTAATTAATAATGATGTATTATAGTTAAATATTGTCAAGGAAATCCATTATTTTAGGAAAATTAATGAGTTCAATCATTTAAGAGTATTTATAAATAATATGAGAAGATAAGATACAAATGTATGTGAAGTTTAATTATTGTTGATTATTATGTAAAATGAAATTTTTGAATTTTAATGATTGTATTTAATAATTATCAATTAATTTGTGGTTAATTTATTCTAATTTTCATATTTATTTAATTAATTTTATGGAATTAGACTATGATTTTTAAATTTTCATTATACAAAATATAATTTATTTAAATTCAATATCTAAGCTATCATGAATAGATAATCGATCTTATTAAGATATTATTTAATATTAAGGATATCATAAGATTTATATTAATTTTAGAGTATATTATATTATTATTTATGGTTTTGATAATTTATTCTGTTAATTCACTTTATGGTAAAAATTATCGTTTTTCAAAGGAAAACATTCAATATTAAATGAAATAAGTTTACTTTATTTCCATTTTGATTTTGTCATCCTAATGTGCTTCATTTTTAGAAGAACAACCAGGAATGCAAAATAAAATATATTCAATAAAATTGGAACGAACTCAATCTTAGGCTAGAAAATCGTTATTCGATTTCATAACAACTGGATAACATTTTAGATCTAAGAGTGATATATTAGATGATATTTCATTAACTTAAACATAATAGAAGGAGAGCATAAAATTATATAATTTTAAAAATACATAATATACTGGTGAAATTAGTTTTGGAGCATCAGAAAATAAATTTAAAGTAGATTAATATATTTTATTATAATATAGGTTATTTTTGATACTGGATCAGCTAATATTTGGTTGAATTCTGCAAGATGTCATGATTATGGATGTAAAAATCATAAATAATATGATGGTTCAAAGAGTTTGACTTATGAACATTTAGGTTATGATTTAGATGTTGAATTTGGTACTGGTGAATTAATGGGAGAAGTAAATAATTAAATAAATTAATAGATCAATGCAGATACTGCCTATGTTGGTAATGTTAAGATTAGAAAATAAGAATTTGCAGAAATAGTTAGGGAAAATGGAGATGTATTTGCATAATCTGATTTTGATGGTATAGTTGGTTTAGCATATCCAACAATGGCTGCATATCATTTTAATCCATTATTTGATAATATCATGCAATAAAAATTGTTGGATAGGAATGTGTTTTCATTTTACTTTTCTAGATAAGAGGGCTCTAGANGTTAAATATTGTCAAGGAAATCCATTATTTTAGGAAAATTAATGAGTTCAATCATTTAAGAGTATTTATAAATAATATGAGAAGATAAGATACAAATGTATGTGAAGTTTAATTATTGTTGATTATTATGTAAAATGAAATTTTTGAATTTTAATGATTGTATTTAATAATTATCAATTAATTTGTGGTTAATTTATTCTAATTTTCATATTTATTTAATTAATTTTATGGAATTAGACTATGATTTTTAAATTTTCATTATACAAAATATAATTTATTTAAATTCAATATCTAAGCTATCATGAATAGATAATCGATCTTATTAAGATATTATTTAATATTAAGGATATCATAAGATTTATATTAATTTTAGAGTATATTATATTATTATTTATGGTTTTGATAATTTATTCTGTTAATTCACTTTATGGTAAAAATTATCGTTTTTCAAAGGAAAACATTCAATATTAAATGAAATAAGTTTACTTTATTTCCATTTTGATTTTGTCATCCTAATGTGCTTCATTTTTAGAAGAACAACCAGGAATGCAAAATAAAATATATTCAATAAAATTGGAACGAACTCAATCTTAGGCTAGAAAATCGTTATTCGATTTCATAACAACTGGATAACATTTTAGATCTAAGAGTGATATATTAGATGATATTTCATTAACTTAAACATAATAGAAGGAGAGCATAAAATTATATAATTTTAAAAATACATAATATACTGGTGAAATTAGTTTTGGAGCATCAGAAAATAAATTTAAAGTAGATTAATATATTTTATTATAATATAGGTTATTTTTGATACTGGATCAGCTAATATTTGGTTGAATTCTGCAAGATGTCATGATTATGGATGTAAAAATCATAAATAATATGATGGTTCAAAGAGTTTGACTTATGAACATTTAGGTTATGATTTAGATGTTGAATTTGGTACTGGTGAATTAATGGGAGAAGTAAATAATTAAATAAATTAATAGATCAATGCAGATACTGCCTATGTTGGTAATGTTAAGATTAGAAAATAAGAATTTGCAGAAATAGTTAGGGAAAATGGAGATGTATTTGCATAATCTGATTTTGATGGTATAGTTGGTTTAGCATATCCAACAATGGCTGCATATCATTTTAATCCATTATTTGATAATATCATGCAATAAAAATTGTTGGATAGGAATGTGTTTTCATTTTACTTTTCTAGATAAGAGGGCTCTAGAACCTCAGAATTAACTTTAGGTGGATGGAATTAAGATCATTTTGAAGGAGAATTGCATTTTCATAATGTGGCAAATAAGTATTATTGGTTATTGGAGGCAAATAATATTTTAGTAAATGGAAAAGATGTTGGATTATGTAAAGGAGGTTGCAGTGTTATAGCAGACACTGGTACTTCATTGATAACAGGTCCATCTGATGATTTATATGATATGTTAGATGCTCTTAATATAGATGAAAATTGTAAGAATCTCAAAGAATTACCAACCTTAACTTTTGTATTGGATGGAATTCATTATGATCTTGATGCACATGATTATATAATGAAGATAGATTCATATGGAAATGAAGTAAATAAATAAATATTATATAATTAGATTGCATATGGATCTTTTGCATCTACAGATAGTTTCTTAGAAATGGGTGGAGGTTGTGAATGTATTGGAACATTCATGCCTCTAGACATTCCTTTCCCTTAAGGACCAGCTTGGATTTTGGGTGACACTTTCTTAAGCAAATATTATTCTGTTTATGATAGAGATAATGATAGGGTTGGGTTTGCTAGATCAAAATGAACATATCTTTGTAATCAAAATTTCATTCATTATTTTTATTAAAAAAGTATTATAATTATTTCTTTTATGATTTCAATAAATAATGGATTAACAACTATGATAGTTAATCTTAATAAATTAAATAAATTTAATTGATTCCAAAATCAAATTTCTAAATGTAATCATCATTAAATTAAACAAACTAATTAAATTGTTCGAATTAATTTCTTTTAGTTATGTCTAATTCATAAAATCAATCATAATTTTAAATTGTTATAAATAAATAAAACAATGATTAATAAAAGTATATATTAAATCAATGGTCATCATTGCTTTAAAATAAAACAAGTTCTATTTTTAATTAATTTATAGCATATTTGTATTTTATATATAATAAGTATTTTAATTATTTAATTTATTTAGATAAAAAGTTGTTTAGAGTTTGTATTCTTTAATACTAAAATTCTATTCTGATTTTTCAATTATAATTATGAGGTTAACAATCTATCTATATAATAAATTTAAATTAACTAAAATTAATGTATAATTTTTGGGATATTTTTTGGTTTAAAATTAAAAATTGTTTTTTTATTAAGTATCAAGTTTATAAATGATGTATTTAAACATGATTAATTTATCATATTAAGCTATGGCATTAATTAGTATTTAGTATTATACAAATTTTTATTAGTTTTCTAAAACAATAAATTTTAGTTTAAATATATAAAAAAGTAAATAAGTAATTAAATGGACAAAAAAGGTAACTTTGATAGACTTAGAAATAAATTGAAAAGTGATTTATTTAAGAATGAGAATTAATAAAAATAGAATGTTTAAGAAATTATCAATCAATGTCCATAAATATTAGAATATGTTCATTGCTCAAGTTAAAATGACTTTAAGGAAGATGCACCTAAAATAATTGATTATCTGTCAAATTAGAAACAACTTGAATAAATGAAGCAATCATTCAAAAATATCTATCAAATTGGAAAGATTTTGGGTGAAGGAGCTCATGCAGTTGTTAGGTAATGTTGGTAAATAACTAATCCAGATGAAACCTATGCTGTTAAAATTTCAAGGAATGCAGATCCTGAAATAACTGAAATAATGAAATAAACATTCCTTAATACCATGGCTTTAAATCATCCTTATATTTGCAAAACAAATATGCTATATATTGATCCAAATATGGAATGTTCATATTTAGTAATGGAATATTTACCATATCCAAGTCTATAACATTTATTAAAGGAAAGACAAACTTTAGATCTAAATGAAACTTGTTTAATTATAAGATAATTATTTGAGGCTGTTTCATATATTCATAAAATTGGATTATGTCATAGAGATATCAAACCAGATAACATTGTATTTGATAATGACACCAATACCATTAAGTTAATTGATTTTGGTGTTTCAAAAAGATTTCTTATACCTGAAAAAAATTGCAAAGATATCAAAAATAATCTTATGTGGACAGTGACTGGAACAATGCCATATTAAGCTCCTGAATTATGGGTTGGTTCTGGATATTCATAATAGATTGATGTTTGGGCTATAGGAGTTGTTTGTTATTAGATGTTATGTGGTAAATTGCCTATTGATTAAGAAAATCAAATGGAATGTTTTTCTACTTAATCAGAATATACAAAACATTTTCTATAACCAGAATTTCTTAAATTACCACATTTAGTCATTGATTTTCTCAAAAGAATATTGAAATGGAATCCAGACAAACGATTATCTTCTTCTTGTAATGATATATAATAAAATTTTAGAGGCTTTACTTCATCCATGGCTTTATTAACCTAAGATTTTCTCTAAGAATCAAAAAATGAGATCAAAAGATGACATCGTTCTTGGGTGTAGTGATAGACCACTTTTCGGTATTGTAAGGTCTATGTAAGCAAATATGAAAATATTACAATAATCTGTTTCTAATTCTAATGAATAATTTATTGATAAAAGAGATTTAACTAAAAATCATGGATAAATCATTATTGCTTATAAAGAAACCAGTTAGCAAATCAGAGAGAAATCGATTCACTTTTAATAATCAATCCATTCAATTAATCTTACCAAATGTACTACTAAATCAAATTCCGATGATGTCAAAGACCTTTTTGATGTTATCAATTTTTGTGACAGCAATTCCTCCTTTGAATCTTTAGAAGAAAAACAATAATTATAAGCTCAATAATAAAAATAAGCTTAGCAATAATAGCAACAAAAATTAGGATTCTCATAACGACTAGGTGTAATAAAAGAGGAACCAGAAACTCCATATAGTGATAAATTTAAGAAAACAATTGAAGAAATGGATTAGATTTGATTCATTGAATATTTATATATAGTAATATATTAGTTATGACAAAAGCAGAAAATTAAGTTATAAAGTCATAACTGATACTTTAAAAATGATGCTTTCTTCTTATTATCAATATATATTTTTCATAAGTTTATTTATTTAAATTCGCCATAATTTTCATAAAACAAATATTATTGGTACATGATATTATTAGACAAACACAATATATTTATAAATATAATAAAATATATAATAAACAAAAAAAAAGAAAAATTAATGAATAAACAAGTAATAAAGATTCTATGATGATCAAAATATAAAATTTAGGAAGATGATTGAGAGATCTAAAAATGATGGAAGTATCTTTTTATACCAGTATCACTTTAATCCTTAAATGATTAATGAAAAATCTAGAAATATTTAATAATGTAGAATAATATATACTTTAAAAATAAGAAAATAAGTGCTTATTAATAATTAAAGAATTAGGATAATAATGATTATTAAATTTAGGTCCAATAAAGATTAAAAGAATTGTGTATATATAATATTACAAATTAATATTAAATGAATAACAAATTATCGATTCCAATATTTTTATCATGACTTTTCATCTTTTTTATTGTTATGAATTCATTTTGTCTCCTGTTTTGCCATCAAGAGTATCTATTGAAGTATTATCAATAAATTAAACTTTCAATTATTTTTATCCTTTTTAATCATTCTGTTCTTTTGAGATTTGGCTATCTATATTTTTTTTTAGTATTGTATTTTTTTATGTGTTTTTTATAAAATTTTCATTATTTGATATTTCATCAAAATCAATTTTATCAAATCCATTTTTATTAGCATTTTTTTAATCTTATTCTATTTAATATTATTAATTATGATTTCGAACTTAAGAAGAAGATAAACCATTATTTAAATTATATTAAGTTCCTTTACTTTCTTATTCTTCTTTTATTATTTGCAAATTAACTTAAATTTCATATTCTTTTTTGAATTCTTCATTATTAATATGTTAATAATTGAGATCGTTTTTCTATTTTTAATTAAAGATAGTTCTTTCTTATTATTATTCAAATGACTATATTTAATTCATACTTATATTATTATGGCTTATCCCTTCTATTTCTTCTAAGAAATCTTCATCAATTTCACTATCTTCCTCATATTATTTTTTATTTATTAGTTTTTCCAAAGCCCCTTTAACATCCTTTAAAGCTGATTCATCTAAACTTTCTGTTGGATTATATTTTCTTTCAGGTCCATCATATCCATCTTATTCACCATAACCAGCAGAATTATGATCTCCATAAATAAATTTTCTTAATTAACTTGTATTTAATTTAGAGTTTGTTTCAACTATAGATCCAATTCTACTTATATTTTCCATTGATTAAATAATATTGTTTTTTTCTCTCTTTTGACGTTAAATCAAAATTAATGGAATTGATATCGTAAGATTATCAACTTTAACAAATAGATGTTTAACAAAAATTACANAATAAAATATATAATAAACAAAAAAAAAGAAAAATTAATGAATAAACAAGTAATAAAGATTCTATGATGATCAAAATATAAAATTTAGGAAGATGATTGAGAGATCTAAAAATGATGGAAGTATCTTTTTATACCAGTATCACTTTAATCCTTAAATGATTAATGAAAAATCTAGAAATATTTAATAATGTAGAATAATATATACTTTAAAAATAAGAAAATAAGTGCTTATTAATAATTAAAGAATTAGGATAATAATGATTATTAAATTTAGGTCCAATAAAGATTAAAAGAATTGTGTATATATAATATTACAAATTAATATTAAATGAATAACAAATTATCGATTCCAATATTTTTATCATGACTTTTCATCTTTTTTATTGTTATGAATTCATTTTGTCTCCTGTTTTGCCATCAAGAGTATCTATTGAAGTATTATCAATAAATTAAACTTTCAATTATTTTTATCCTTTTTAATCATTCTGTTCTTTTGAGATTTGGCTATCTATATTTTTTTTTAGTATTGTATTTTTTTATGTGTTTTTTATAAAATTTTCATTATTTGATATTTCATCAAAATCAATTTTATCAAATCCATTTTTATTAGCATTTTTTTAATCTTATTCTATTTAATATTATTAATTATGATTTCGAACTTAAGAAGAAGATAAACCATTATTTAAATTATATTAAGTTCCTTTACTTTCTTATTCTTCTTTTATTATTTGCAAATTAACTTAAATTTCATATTCTTTTTTGAATTCTTCATTATTAATATGTTAATAATTGAGATCGTTTTTCTATTTTTAATTAAAGATAGTTCTTTCTTATTATTATTCAAATGACTATATTTAATTCATACTTATATTATTATGGCTTATCCCTTCTATTTCTTCTAAGAAATCTTCATCAATTTCACTATCTTCCTCATATTATTTTTTATTTATTAGTTTTTCCAAAGCCCCTTTAACATCCTTTAAAGCTGATTCATCTAAACTTTCTGTTGGATTATATTTTCTTTCAGGTCCATCATATCCATCTTATTCACCATAACCAGCAGAATTATGATCTCCATAAATAAATTTTCTTAATTAACTTGTATTTAATTTAGAGTTTGTTTCAACTATAGATCCAATTCTACTTATATTTTCCATTGATTAAATAATATTGTTTTTTTCTCTCTTTTGACGTTAAATCAAAATTAATGGAATTGATATCGTAAGATTATCAACTTTAACAAATAGATGTTTAACAAAAATTACATTCACAGTTAGAATGTATTAAAAACTCATTATTTTAGTTTTTAATGTACTTTATGGAAAAATAGCCGTTTTATTTGTTTCCTTTCCTATTGGTAAAATTAAATTAGCATTAATTTATTTTGATGAATGTGCTTTAATTTATTCTAAAATAAATTAATTTACATACCATTTATTTCTTATTAGAAGATTTCAAAATAATTAGATAATTTTCTTTTTTTTTCTTTGTATAAAACTATTAATTAAGACGAAATCTTTAATTCAAATTTTTAGATAGCAATATTTGATTAATTATTGTCAACTTATAAAATTAATGAGATTGTATCTCCAAAATAATATTATAGTGTCTAAAGTTAAATTGTTACTTTTGTATTCTAAATTTTAAAATTTCTTTTACCCCTGTTGAAAAACAACATCTTTTATCTATTTTTGTAGCTCCTTGATATTCAATTGGAATATTATTTTGAATTGCCATTTTTTTAAATATATGAACTACAACCCTATTTTTTTTTGGTACTTTGTATAAATATTTTCCATCTTAACTTTACAAACTGACTGAGAGAAAATAAAGAACTCTACATTATACCATTTTATAATAGTTAATTGTAAAACTTGGATATAAAGATGGTACTTCTAATTCAAAATACTTTTTACAGGCTATCATAGGCATTTTTCTAATAATCAGTTTAATTGTACTTCCCAAAATCTGTTATTTTTTTCTATTTTTTGTATATGAATTATTTAAAGCTAAAGAATTAGTTAAATGAGTCTAATTAATTGACTTTCTCTTATCCACAAAGCTATTTTAGTTTTATTTATATTCTTACTTTTATATATAATAGACCTGCTTTAATGTCGTTTGTTTTGATTTTCATGTATATCACCCCTTTAATAATCTCTCCAGGATAATAGCTAGGCTTATCGATTTTAATAGAAATCTATGCTTATTCTGAAGTTAGAGTATATATCATATTATAATAAAATAATTAAAGATTAATCCCATTCTTCGTTCAAAAATATGCACTTTTAAATTTTTGGTTCCAATACAATCTTTAGTTAAACTAAAATTGTTTAATACAATTTGATTGTAATATTTAAAAATAAAATCTTTATAACTTAATTTTAATCATTCAAAAATATATAATGAATATTTTCAAAAAATACAATTTATCATAATGAATTTCATATCAAATTTAATTAGCAACTACATAATAATACTAAAATATACCTTAAATTGTTTGATTTCAATCAAAAGATTATCAATAATGATATTAAATTCAAATTATTTTTTCAAATGATTTTCGGCTATATCATTTATATATATTTATCTTGGGTTGAATATAACTATTTTCATTTTCTAAAACTCTCTATATAAAGAAATATCCAATTTTATCTTTAAAATTAAAATTTCTTTTCAAACCTTAAAATTAATAATAAAATAAAATATTGAATTTTAGTTTAATAAAATCAAGTTTCAAAAGTAAATTAATATATAAATAATTAAGTAAGTCTTAAATCATAATGATCAAGACTTTAAGAAAAGGAAAATCAATTAAAATTAAGAAATCAAGGAAGTTTTATTATGATGACATAAAAAATAATATTATTTTATCTTATATATTTATATTTATATTTATATTTATAAACTTAATTCAAATTAAATAGATGGTCATATGAATTTATTAAATTCTTCTATAGATTAGAAATGTCTTATTTCTTTAATGTGAAGTTGATTATCTTAAAAATAAAGCTATTTAATTAATCTTATATACAAAAATAATTTACTTCTTAAAAAATTCACGTAGTTAATCACTTGAATTTTATGAATCAGGATATATTTTTTTTTGATATTCTCTTAAATCACTCTCAACAATATATAAACTTTTTTCAAGATTAAGAGGTTTGGAAAAGACTATTATCTAAATAAAAAATTCTAATTATAAAATGATAACTTTGAATCTTTAGGCTCGAATTAATCTAATATAATAATAATAATTATACATATAAGTTTAATAGAGAACCTAATCTAATGTAACTGATGGAGGAAGTTATTCCTTTTCTTTTTAAAAATTATCTTAATTTACTTTCAAATCTAGATTCTCTACTTTAACTTAAACTTAACTTATTTTATGTTTAGCTATTTCCAATGTTTATTTATCTATTTCTTATTTAATTTAAGGTTAAGGATTTTCAATTTTTTTCTTTCTTGTTTCAATTCTTGGATTCAATTTTTACATTAAATTACATAAAAATTAAAATTATTCTTAACAAAATTTCTATTGATCTGGCATATTTAATGATTAAAAGACTTCCCCATAATAATTATATGTTATAGCAAGTAAATGTACCATTCTTTCTTTTTAAATTTCTCTTGGTTATGATAATATTTATTCCTCATTCTAGTTATATAGAATTCTAAATGTATTAGAAATAAATACTCAACCAAATTTAGCATATGTTTATAGTTTATACTAACTTCAACATTCTCATATTGTGATTATGATAATTATTCATATATTAATAATGCTTTTGTAATAAATTATTTAGCATCTTATTTATCTCCTTTATTCAAAAATACAAAACCCAAATTCTCCAATAATACTCCCATTTAAAATTAAGAAACATTAGTCTCTAGTACATAACTTCTAGCTGCCAAAGCTCTCATTAAATAACTTTCTGCCTCTCTAATTTTTTTTCTTCTCATCAAAATTACTCCAATATTATTTAAAGTCTATATAGTATACTTTAGAAGATAATAATAGAAATCGATATCTTCTATTTTTGGATAAACCTATACTTCAGTTGGCAATTTAAGAATCATTAACTTTTCATTTGATGAAACTGTTTAATTGATATCTAATAAATAAAGCTATTATAAACAAGAGTCGTACCATAACTTTAGAATATTCAGTTAGTAAATCAGGCTCTTAATTAAAATTCTTTAGAGCTTTTATTAAGACTTTTTCTAATTTTTTGTAAATATAATAAGACACTTTATAGTCATTGTTGCTAATAGCTATAAAGGTTTATTAGTATCGTGCTTCTATATAATTTTTTACAATTCCTTTTATTTCTACTAATCGATAGCCTTCTGAAAATTTATCAAGTACAAAATCTGTTTCATCATCAATTGAATTTTTATCAAACTCATTATGTTCTTTTTATGCCATTTTTTAAATAAAAATTATAATTTACTTTAATATTAAATGATAAGTAAGAAAACTATAAATAAATATATCATAGTAGGTAACTTAAAGATAAAATGAAAAAAAGTCATTTTGTTATTTAAGTTATATAAAACTTATATTTTAGCAGTTCCATAATTATAATAGATAAATTAAAATTAAATTTTAGATGAAATCTGCAAATAAAAATATTTCAGATGTATATTTTATGAATTAAAGAAACCATTTAAGTGAAATAAAAAATGAATCTATTTACTTAGATTATTTTGATGAGCATTAATAATAAATTGAAGTACTGGAAAAAAAACTATTAGAATAACAATCAATTAGTTAAAAATAAATTGAAGAAATGGATTCATTAAAAAAAGATGTTCAAAGTGCAAAAAGATTAATTGATTAAACATAAAATAAATTAGATTAATTTTATTAAGAAATGAAGTAGAAAGAAGAATAATTATATATTTTTGAAAAGTAGTTAAGAGATAAAGAAATGGAATTGATTAATAAAGAATTATCATTAGTGAATCGATAAACATAAACAGAAGAAACTTCAACTTCATATTGTTAGGAAAATATTGAGTCAGAACAATAAATTGATATTGATATTGCTCAATAATTATTCGAAAAAAGAATTCATAAAGAATATAAAGCACTTTAAGAAAAATAAAAGGAATTATAAGCAAGAGAAAATGGAATAATATTTAGAGAAAACAAAATAAAAGAATTTATGAATAAACTATCATCTTCAATGTGAATATTACTATTTATATATATATATATTTATCATAACATCCCAAAAGGATTATTAATTAATCTAAATTCAAGTTTATCACATTCAATATATATTTTATAGTAGGATTCATTAAATTAATAAATTGATTTACCATAATTAAATATGTTGAACTTCAATTTATCATAAATATTTAAAATAATATTATCTGCTTCGATAAATCCTTAATTCTGTTAATTTTTTATCCCTAATTATACATTTTTAGAATAATTGATATCAAATAATCCTGACAAAGATTTTATAAAAAATGATTCTGTTTTTATATTACATTTCAATCTTCCTGAAAATTTTCCTGTATTAAAAGAATTTGCTGATGATTATATATAAAAATGATTATTTTATGCAATATTTTCTAAAAATTAGAATTTTTACATAATTGGATAAATTTTTTTGTATAATTTATACATAACTTACATAAATTTTACATTCTCCATTTTCTTAATATAAATTTGTTACTTTTGAAATAAGTAATTTTTTAATAGAAACATTATTTTTAATCTATAATTCTCTTCTAATGCAGAATTTATTTCCAAATTCTTAGCTTTGACTCTACAGATTTCTGATTTATCTTTTAAGATGAAAAATTACCACTCAAATCAATATCAATATTTCGATATAGTTTTGCATCTATACCAGTTGATATATGCTATAGATCTCCATTAATTATTTCATTATAATTATAATATTCAGGAATATTTATTTTTGTTTGATAATTTCATTTTTCAACGTTTAAAATTTGACTTTAATCTTTTTAATCTTCAAATAAAAAGCCTATTCAGGTTGACTGTAATATTCACAATTATCTTCCCAATGAGTCTATAAAGTTACTTTATTCGATCTATTTAATAATTTAAAACTAACTGTACTTGCTTATCCATATAGAGAATTGAAAGAAGAAAATTTAAATAGAATATTGTTTATCATGATTAATTTTAATGAAGAGAGTAAGTATAATTTAGAGTAAATTATTGATAAAATTTTGGATATCTTGATGTAAATTAGCATTTCTTTAACTCAAATCAATAAGTATTATTATTTCTATAATAAATACTTTGAAAATCTAATTTGTTAATTATAAATCATAAAACCCTATAAGAGGAGTTAAAAAAGAATAATTCTATAATGCATTTATATAATTTGTTTTGAATGATATAGATAAATAAGAGTAGAAGATTATTAAAAAGTGATTAAAGTTTTTGATTTATTTAAATATATTAAAAAACAATTTTTGAAAATCTTTATGATTAAAAAAACATAGTTTACATAAAGGTGTTTTATAAAAAGATCTGTATAATTTTGTATTATAATTCCTATTTAAATATCTTCGTATGTTATAATTTTAATTAGTCTATGTATTTTTGAATAAAAATATGTAAATAAATCAATGTTCTTCAAATTTTACATATCTTCCTTCACTTACTAAATAGTAACCACCAGCAACTTATAGCTCAATTTCATTTGTATATTTTTCCATTAATTTCCTATCTTCATCATGTTTAATAGAAAATAAATCACTATCAAGACTACCTCTACCAACAAGGTTTGAAAAATTTGATAAAGCTTAAGAAACAGAAGCTTACCTTTGATATGCAACTCTTGTTTTAAAATTATGAGTTTTGTTTATCAAAGATGTTTAATTATCAATTTAGAACTCATTATTAATTTGATCTTATTATATGGGAATTGTAATTGATTTTCCTGATTATACAGAAGTTTGCATCCGAATCTAAGCAAATTTTGATTTCTACATTAAATCATTCTAATCAACTGAATTTAAATAAGGAACTCTATCTCTTAACTCTGATTCATTAATACTAGTATCCAATTATTTTGATTATTTTGATTTATAAAAGATTGCTAATACTATATAGAATAAACCAAAAAATCCAATAATAGATAGAAGAATCATTCCCCAACGAGATGCTGATCCTCCAGTTTATTATTATACATAACCATAAAGAACTGGTGCTGGTAAATAACCTAAAAGTTCTTGAAATAAATGACTTAACGAGTTTCCACTTGATCTTTATTCTCTTGGAATTGAAGTAATCATTATACCCATAATTGCAGGAACAGCACTTCCACCAAAAAAGAGTAAAAACCATAAGAAAAGTAATACAAATGCTCCATTATTTAGAATTGGTATGAATGCTCCTGATATACTTGCTAAAAGGGCTTCAAAAGCTGCTATTTATATTGCTGTTTATCCATCATAGCCTCCAAAATTATGTAATATTAATCCTCCCAAATATACTCCACTAAGAGGTGCAGTTAAAGATATTATTAAAAATGATTTAAAAACAACTTCATGAGGCATAAGTAATACATTTCTAAGATAATCTGTTATCCAAAATTATACTCCTGTTACAACAAAAAATAAAGAACTTAATGATAACATTGAAAAAACAAAAACAGGATTTGACAAAAAGGTTTTCAAATTTTGCATAAAAATAGTCTTAAAATTTTCTTTATTAACATTTAATTATCCTTCATCTTATGTAGATAACATTGCTTCATCACAAAAATTATAACATAAAAAACAAGGAATTAGTAATAATATTTACAAATAATATGGATATACCCACTAAATAATTTAAATTTGTATTACATTCTATGAAAAATGAAGTGATAATGATGTCACTAAATATCCTGATACAGTCCCTAAAGCTACTCCTAATTACATGTATGTCAACCACAAAGTCTTATGATTTTCACCAAATAAATCTATCCAAACTGGAAAAAAAACTACTAAAAACACCAAATAAATTAATATTGCATACTTAAAAGAATCCTGTTAAAAATCTAGATATAAATAGAAGAATAATATTTTTGGTTAGAATAAATAAAGATAAACTTAGTATGCAACATAATACACTTATTGTAACTATGTGTTTAGTTTTATATTTGTCAAATATGCCTGTGCCAATAAATGAACCTATTACAAGTCCTCCATAAACTGATGATCCCATCATACCTAACTAAAATTAGATTATAATTAAAATTCTTACTTAAACGTCATCTATTCCTAAATCCAATTTCATATCAGTTGTACATGCTGGTATTATTCCATGATCAAAATTTATAAGAGCATTCGTTACGAAATTTAACAGATATATTGATAAATTATTTTTTTCCATTTTTTTTAATTAAAAATTTTCTACATTCTTTTTTAACAAGAATCACTTATCCTTAATTTTTATACTTTATTGATGCTTTTAATATAATTCAAAATATATTATAGTACATATGTACTTATTTATATGAATATCAACCAATTCATTTCCCAAAAACTTCGCAATCAGAATAATTCAAATAAAGAAATTCGTCTTCTTTATCTTTATATTTATTATATAATTCTTGAAGTGAAATATCTATTATTAATTAGATAAATTACCATCAGAAATTATATTATTTCCGCAATAGAAAAACAATGTTTGTTAAGGTGATAATTAAAGTTTGACTCTGATTTAGGTTTTAAAATCAGAAAACTTGACTGTTTAATTGACTAAGAATCTACTTTGTTATAAACTAAATACTATGGTCTTGTTAATGACATTATCTTGGCTTTTGGATGCTTTTAAACAACCATTGGTGTCATCTCTGGGTATTTTTCTCTATATTGTTGCACTCTTTTCTTCCTGTCTTCTAATTTATGTTATGCCTTATAGTCCTTCATATTCTATGTTTTAGTGTTATCCTGTGATTAGTTATTCATTATTATTTTATAATATTTTGAAATTAATATCTGAATAAAAACTTTGCTAATTTATCAAGTTAATTATTAAATATAGAATGCATTTCTTATATATATATAATGTTTATATTGAATAGCATTAAAATTTTGATCTAATTTTGTTTATTTAATTTAAACAAATATTATAGAATATTAATAATTAAAATCAATTTTTTTTATTAATAGAATTTATTAAGTACAATTATTATTTTCTATTTAAGAATAAATTTTATAATAATCTTATAAGATTATTCATTAAATGTATTTTAATATATAGTAAACTAATATATATAATACATTAATAACTATTATATATTTAATATAATAAATTTCATGTAATAGTAAACCAATATTAAATTAAATGATAAAAACACAAAGTAATCAAATTATAAGAATGATTTAAGTATTATATTTTTATCTATAATTCTGTCTGTGTATTTAATATTAAATCTTTAAGCTTGATTTTATTTTATTTTAAATTATTTTATTTTAGCAAATTTTTAAAAATACATTACAAAACACAATGCTAACCATTAAAAAGAATACAGAACTTTATTGTTAAATTTTATATAGATTAGTTTTTATATAAAATCATAAATTATAATTATAAGTTTGATCAAATAAAACTGTTATCTTCTTGACTTAGAGGTTTTTGCAAATAAAATAATAATTTAAAGTTTGATTCATAAAAATATGTACAATTAAAGTAATCTAATTAAAAATCAATTATTTTATAATTTTAAATACATTATCTTATCAATCCAAAATTATTAATTTGCACCCATCGTATAGAGGTGAGTACAGATGCCCCCCAAGCTTCTAGGTCGGGTTCGAGTCCCGATAGGTGCAAAATATTTTTAGACTCTTTTATAAATTATTTTCTAATTTACTCAGATAATTTATAAATAAAAAGAAAAAAAAAAAGAGAAATCTTTAATACTAATGTTGATAAGTAATATACAACGTTAAATCATTTACTTAATTGACTCTAATCAAAAAACTATGTAACTCCTTAATTTTCTGAATCAAAAAATAAATAATATCGTAATTTTAATTTATATTAAATATCCTTTTACAAGTATTCTATATGAATTATCTTGACTGTTCTGCAGACTTAATTCTATTGTAAAGGATTAGTAATTCTATAATCAATTAAAAAATAGCTTAAAAATAGGATTTAATAAAGTATTACATAAAATTACATTCGCTAAATTCATATATTTATAAATTATGTCAGACATATAACTTTAATTAAAATTATAAGTGAAAAAGTAATATTTTTTATTAGGAATATGAGATTACATTTTTTTTGAATCCTATTTTTGTTAAATTAGGTTTTGTTGATTAATTATTCAATTTTAATTTCTTTGTTTATAATACTTTTATTGATAATTTACAAATATATCTTTAATCAATACTTAAAAATATGGACAATATTTAAAATATTACAAAGATTCAAGGTACAAATTACTAATTGTTTATTCGTAAAACTTAAATCAAATAAATCAATGACCTCCAAAGAGGGTTTCCAATAAATGGATACAAAATGAACATTTCACAATCACCAAGATTAAATTATCCAATAAAATTCAAAATAACTTTTGATAAACAAAAAAAAATAACATCAAATTCTGTAAAACATGAATAAAATAATACATTTGGACAATTAACAAATAAGTGTCAAATCTATCAATAATACATAAAAGAAATTATAAAAAAGAAAAAAAATACTAATGTTACTACAATTGAATAAACAATAAATTAATTTAAAAAAAATAAACAAGAAACATCACTTTAATAAGATAAAAGTTTTATTATACCAAAATTTATATAACAAAGAAAATAAAAAACAAAATTTTTATAGAAATAAACAATCACTGAATGTTCTTTAATTGAAGACTTAAAGCCATGGGAATCATATCATAATTCTTTAGCTTTTTTTCAATGAATCTTTGATAATATTCATTAATTCTATATAATATTCATATTAATCAGAATAAATTATTCTCTTCTACGAAGCATGTTACTACTTCTATCTTAGTTGCAATTATATTTTAAACATCTCTAATAATGGCAATTTATTTATCTCTTTCAATTGTATTTTATTGGTATTATAATTCATATTCTTAACATTATTAATTTCTTTATTAATTTCCATTCTTGGCAGCATTGAATTCCTAAGTTAATTAATTAGAATATTAATTACAGCATGAGCATCTCTAGATCTCTTATCTTAAATATCTCTATTTCTAATTGTCTCTTATAAAGCTTCTTCATCACTTGATTTCTCTCTTGTCAAACTTTCAATTGCATTAAAAATGGCAGCTAAAATAGTATCAGTATCCTATAAGGGTAGATAATATAAATACTCTGGCATTCTTTGCTTCTGCCTCTTCTTCTGCTTTAATACTTTCTTTGATAGAATCTCTAATAGCTTCCATTTTTTCAATTAAAGTCTGTACAGCTGTTGGTTCCAATGTTGAAGTTAAAGCAACCATTGCTGTAATTGGGTTTTCTTCACTTAAACATTATTTTAGATATATACCCAATTTTTGCTAATTAAACTAAAGCTTCATTAATTGCCTCTTCTTCAATAAATGATCCAGCTTTGTGTTATGCTGCTACATCCCATACTTAATGTAATTTTGGAAGGATAACTTCAAAGGCTTATACCATCTCTTTCATTTAAGTTGTTCTTGTTGAAAAATCTAAATTATCTTATCTTCTAATATCTCTTAAAGTATCATCCTTAGCTTAGAATACTTATATTTATCTAGCTTTCTCATTTATTTCTGCTTAATAAACTGCAATAGCTTCATTTAATCTTTTAGCTTTAAATTCTGCATCTTTAATTTCATTAATTGATAAACTGATTCTTTGGCTATAATTTTAAAGATCTTTCTTGCATTAAGATCCTATTTATGCTCTTTCATTATCAGCATCAATTTATTTACCCTATTAAAATTATAATATAATTGTACTTCCAAATCTCCTTTTAAGTCATTCAGCAATTTACTAACAGCACTTAAAGATTCATTTCCTCTCAATTACAAAGCTATTGTCTATAATATCTTGGAACCAAGTGGATGATCTTAAATCTCTTCTAATTTAGAATATGAAGGATCATCTTAAAGTGAAAGCTTTTTATGGCCTATGATTACTTATAAAATTATACTCTTTTCAAAGGCAGAATGTTCTTCATCATTTTAGTGTTTCTTGCATACAATTGGATGTGTAAACAAGCACAAGGCAATTACTATTGCTACTAAAATTTTCATTAATTTATAAACTAAGCGTTTTTGAAAATTCTGAAATACAAAATATCTTAAATTAATATATCAAGAAACAATCGTATACAATAGAATAATCTATTATTAGATAATAAATAGTATATATAAAATCACAATCTAACCATTGAATTTCCATATAACATTTATCCCATAGACACTCTTTAATTATTTGAAGCATTTCTATTTTGAGATACTTTGAATTAAGCCATATTCTAAGTATTTTAACAAGAGTTCAGAGCATTTTAAACTGAATGATATTGAATCTACTATTACTAATATTGATTAGAATGATTTTGTAAAATTCTAATCAATATTATTATTAATAATTTACTTAATTAAATCTTAATTATATAGTTATTATGTCTATTGTTAAACTTGAAAACATTAATAAGATTGAATCTAATTTAAATTAGTCTATATCATTTTTTTGTTTGTAGATGAATTCCCTCTTTTTAATGGAGTTTATCCTTAAGAGACATTTGCTACTTGTTTAATTGGTGTAGATAATTAAGAGGTGTTTCTAGTTTGCACATTTTATTACTACTATTCTAATATAATTGGTTTTTGCATAAGAGTTGGTTTAACATATTCAAAACTTTCATCTTTTTATGCTATTTAACTGTATTAACCACAAATATATGAGGATTAAAAAGGTTTCTCATGGGATTGATGCAATGACTAGAAATATTAAATATCACAAGAATTTTTTAATCTTGATGCATTAGATACTTTGAATTAAATTGAATGATTATTCTAATTTTTTAGTATTTATTATGAATTATTTATTGAATGACATCTTAATTTTTATGGAATTTATTAAGCCATCATTTTTATCTAAGGTTTTTTTTATAAATCGTCGAAATTATTTTCATCGATTTTCTCAATTTAATCATTTATTTAATCACCAAAAGATGCTGTCACCTTTTTTAATGGTAAATAGTTTTCTTTTTACACTTAATTTATTTTATGTAAATTTAGTCTAGGAATTGGTGCTTCTTTATGCATTTTATCATTTCTACAATGAGGATTCGGAACACATTAATGTAAATTATTTAATCTATTATTAATATCCTATAATGTGGACCTCAGCAGTTCACAACTAAGATCTGACCTATTATAAAATTTGACAATATTACTCTTAACGAATAGACATATAAAATTTAATAATAATATATATAAATTACTAATTATTTCTTTCTTTATTTATGTTCCTAATGAAACTAACTAATAATAAAGATATTATAATTTTTTTTCGTTAATTTTAAAGAGACTAAGCTCTATTATTTTTGATATTATTCAAAGAAAATTGAAGATTAGATTCTTATGTAATTAAAAAAAGTTAAATAAAACTAACATTCTTATAATTTCAAATTTTAGTATTAGTTAATAATGAATCATTTTTTAAGTTATAATGGATTATAATTTGTTATTAATAAGCTTTTAGTTAATTAAATTTATCAAATAAAATAGTGTTAATAAAATATTTATATTCATTTTATTATAATTAAAGTAAGAAAGGTATTATTTTATTTTAATCTAGATTAAATACATAATAATAAATTTTGATATGAAAACAAATACCTTATCACTATTTATTAATCTCTATAAATTAACATTATTAACATGGATAATAATTTTAAGAAAATAAAATATCAGGCTTGAATTATAAATCCAAATAGTTAATAACAATAAATTGGAATTTTTATTCAACTATTTTTTGACAATATGATATTCTTGATCATAAAATATCCATTTTAATAATTTTTATTCAAAATTTACAAAAAATTAATAAAAATTTACTTTTTTTTGACTAATTTTAGTTATCATATCATATTTTTCATATTTCTAATAATTAATTGAATTAGGTTAAATTGAAATTAGCAACTCAAATAGCTAAACTTTATTTGGTAAAACACTATTATAAATGTGAATTAAAGTAATTAATTAAATCTCTTTTCCTTTATAAATCTATAGCTACATAGAATTTCCTAATAAAACTTAGTTAAAAGAATGAGATTTTATATATATATTTATTGTTTCATATATTAATATATTCAAGCACTACTAAATTTTATAATGAATTTTTAAAATAAAAATCATTTTTATAATCATAATAAAATATCTTATATTATAATTGAAATCCAAACATATTAATTTGAAATTGTACAATATTTGAATAGAACATATATAATGAAGGTTTTTAATTGATATCATGAAACCATTTATTCGTGTTAATTTTTAAGCTTCTTCAAAAGAGCCATTAGTTTGTCTTCCATTTTTTCTGTTTTAGTATTTTATTTAATAGTCTTAAAAGTTTATTTCGTTTGTAACTTTTAAGACTTTATATCAGTGAGTTCGGAATTGATTGATTAACTTAGATTAGCAAGAATTTTTTATTTGATTTATGCATTAACACCATTGCTTAAACATTGAATTACTTAACTTTATTAAGAATATATTATGATATTTCCAGTATTAGTGTTTACTAAGATTGTGGCTACATCACAAATAGTCTTTCTCCTTCTCTTCTTTTAAGGAGAAAAATAATTAGTAGTATCACTGTAGTAATTTCTTAATATATGTTTAGCAGATGAATATTTAACTTTATGAATGATGGCTGCCTAAGGGATTATAGAAAGATTATTACTTAATAAATTGGTAAACGATCTTTAATTACACTATATACCAGATTTGCTTTAGTATCAGAATCAATACGTTTTCTCTTTTTGATTTAATTTGCCTATAGATTAACTTAATTTATTTGGTTGTCTTCTTTTTATATTTCTGAGAAGTTCATAGAAGCAGACAAATCTATAAAATAATATTTGTGAAAAAATTAGCATTATTCATTATTAATATTCGAATAATTAAAATTGATTTTCAATACAATAAATATAAATTTAATTTTTATTTAGAAATGTGTATAAATGTAAATGATTTAGAATATCATAAAAATAGTATAAGATATTAAAAATTAATAAATTTATGATAATAAAAGAATAATTTAATAAAAATAAATATAGATATTCAACTTACTTCATCTTGGAAACACTCAAATATTAATTCTCCTTATTCATTTTCATATTCTCTAATCCTATCTTCAGTTTTTAACTCATTTAATTCCAAAGTTTCAGAATTGTCAAGTGAAGTGTCTTTTGGATGAAACATATGGGCACATAAGTCTAATACTGTTTTTTTATCTATCTCTGCTGCTTCATTCTCTTATTTAATAGTAACAATATAAATTTACCTGTATTTATTACACTATAATATTCAACAAATTCACTTATTCTATCTATAAATCTGCATTCCTCCATTTACTTAGCAAAATTCTCTTTACTCAAATAAGATAAACATATTAAAACATGCATCAAAACTGAAACTTAAATTTAATCTTTAATGAATTTTAATAACTATTCCATTACTTAATGTGCAAATCTAGGTTAATGTTCCAAATATTATAAAGTATATGGAGTATGTATAATATTGGCCAATGTAGCAGAAGCAAAATCAAGACAAAATACATGAATCTTTGTATTTACTGATTTTTAAATTAAGTTAATAATCCATTAAATCATTTCATTATGTACATATGTTGGTATTACTGTATCTTTAATACTTGCTTTTTATAAAATTGCCAAACAAAATCTTTATGTTACGGAGCCGTTTTCTTATTCCTTTAAAATTTTAATTATTTTTTCCATTATAATCATATTTCCATTATAAGTTAAATATTCCACACCTCTTAAAGTACTACTTATTACACTTATTAAACTTGCTATTGCATGTCTAAGACTTTAATTGTTTATATCCAATAAATGAACAACAAAATCAAATTTATCTGTAGATTCAATATTAAATACATCATTTCTAATTAATTCATAAACAAGATTTTTTCTTAATTCAGGTGCAATTTATAAAGCATTTACTCTTAATGAAAGTAAGACCTCTATCATACCATCTACATGCTTATCCTAATAATTCTTTAATAACTTAGTTTTATGTTCATGCATAACTTATTCAGTAATCAATTCTGTTCCTTCTGGTTTACCTTCATTTATTATTACTTTATGATATTTTCCTAATTAAATTTTATAATTTTCTAAAGTTTCACTAAGATTCTCATTCTTTGCTGTTTCCTTTAATGAATGCAGTAATTACAATAAATTAATACTAACTGAAAATATTTATCTTCCTGCTTATAAAATTTATTAGTATTTTTTATTAAATTACTTTTATTCCTTTTCTAAATTGATTTCTCTTTTTGTTTTATTATTATCACTTTTTAACAATTAAAATATACGAGGTAATTCTTCTCCTGTTTATTTGATAACTTATTATTTATTTAACATCTATATATCAATATTAATTATATACTTTATTGGAAACCTATTTACTTTTAATTTCTGCTTCATAGCATTCTAATGTATTTGAATAATTAGAGTATCTTAAGTACTCCTTAATATATTCATTGATTTCATTACTATCTGGTAAAGATGATTATCCTTAATTTGAATTTGCACCTCTCATAACAATATTTGAATAAATTATATTACCAAAATTTCCTATAAATTAATTTGTATATATATAAGAATAAATTTTTATAAAAAAAAAGATATTTATTTATGCTCTCATTTCATCGTCAAGCTACAAGATAATTGCTCTTAAGTGCTCGATAATGTTTTTCTAGTAAAGGTGATAAGAAACCATCTCATCCAAAATTTGTATTTGGTGTTCCTAAGGAAACATTTCCTAATGAAAATAGAGTAGCTGCAACACCTGAATCTATTAAAAACTTAGTTAAAGATGGTCATTAAGTATATACTAATTATATTTATATAGGTTCTGATAGAGACTGGTGCAGGTTTGAAGGCTAATTTTGCAGATAATGTATATCAAGAAGTTGGAGCAAAAGTTGTCGATTCAAATTCAGTTTATGACTAATCTGATGTAATCTTAAAAATTAGACCTCCAGATAATACAAAGGCTTTAAAGGAAAACTAAACTCTTGTAATTATTATTAATAAAATTAGACCTCTTTCATATACCCAGCATAGAATAAAGAATTACTAAACTAATTATAAGAAAAGAAAATTACAACATTTGCTATGGAATGTGTTCCAAGAATTACTAGAGCTTAAACATATGATGCCTTAAGTTCTATGGCCAATATTGCAGGATATAAAGCAGTTTTATTGGCAGCAAATGAATTTGGTAGATTTTTTGCTGGTTAAATGACAGCTGCAGGAAAAGTACCACCTGCTAAGGTATTAGTAATTGGAGCAGGAGTTGCTGGTTTATCAGCTATTGTAACTGCTAAAAATATGGGAGCTATTGTTAGAGCATTTGATACTAGATTAGCAACAAAAGAATAAGTAAAGTCTTGTGGAGCTGAATTTTTGGAAGTCAAAATAAATGGAGAAGTTGTTGATGGTGCAGGTATTGGTGGATATGCTAAGGAAATGGGAAAAGAATATTTAGAAGCAGAATTAGCTTTATTCTTAAAATAAGCCAAAGAAGTTGATATAATTATTACAACTGCACTTATTCCAGGAAGACCAGCACCTAAATTATTATCAAAAGAATTAGTAGAAAACATGAAATAAGGATCAATTATTGTTGATTTGGCTGCTGAAACAGGAGGAAATTGTGAATTATGTAAACCAGGAGAATTATATAATCATTAAGGAAAAGTTAAAATTATTGGATATACTGATTTACCTAGCAGATTACCTACTTAAAGTTCAACATTATATGCAAATAATATTGGAAAATTGATGTAATACATTGTAGGAACAATCAAAGATCCAAATGGAAAAATGACACAAGTGGATTTGAATGATGATGTTGTAAGATAATCATTAGTAACATTAAATGGAGAATTGAAATGGCCACCTCCTCCTATCATTACATCTAAGAGCGAACTCTAATAAGCTGATACATCAAAAGCTGCTTCTCATAAAAAATAAGAAGTTAAAGTAGATCCATATAAATAAGCTTGGAAGAATGTAATTAATACATCAGCTTCACTTATGGCAATGATGGCTTTAGGTTATCAATCTCCAAATATGGAATTCTTAAAAATGTTAAATACTTTTGCTTTAGCAGGAATTGTGGGTTATCAAGTAGTTTGGGGTGTAACTCCAGCCCTACATTCACCACTTATGTCAGTTACAAATGCAGTATCTGGTATAATTATAGTTGGTGGTATGGAATTGATGGATGGAAAATATTTGCCAGGTTCTTTTACTGGGTTATTGGCAGCTATCTCTGTTGCTATAGCATCACTCAATATTTCTGGTGGTTTCTTAGTCACATAAAGAATGTTAAATATGTTTAGAAGACCCACTGATCCTGCTGAATACAATTATTTAATGGCATTAGCAGGTGCTACAGGAGTACTTGGATATTATGGTGGACTCTATTATGGAATTCCAAAAGAACCATTAACAAATCTTTCATATTTAGCTTCATCAATAGCTTGCATATTAGCACTTGCTGGATTATCACAATAATAGACAGCTAGAATTGGTAATAGTTTTGGTTGTTTGGGAGTTGGATTGGGTGTAGCTGCAACTTTAGGATATAAAGGATATTCTCCAGAATTATTAGCTTAATGGGCATCAATGGTTATGTTAGGTGCTACTATTGGAGGTACAGTTGCTACAAGAGTTGCTATTACTGATTTACCTTAATTAGTTGCTTGTTTCCATTCATTTGTTGGATTGGCAGCAGTATTAACATCTATTGGTAATTATTTACATGTATTCCCTCATTTGGCTGAAGATCCAGCTGCACTTGTTCATAAATTATCAATCTTCTTTGGTATTTTCACAGGTGGTATTACATTTACTGGATCACTTATTGCCTTTGCTAAATTGTAAAATCTTTTGCCTTCAAATCCAACTGTTATTCCTTATCATAATTAAGTTAATATTGCATTAGCAGCCTTATCTGTTGCATCTTTATTAATATATAATTAAACAGGTAGTTTTGCTGTTGGAATGACAGCCTTATTAACAGCAACAGCTGCTAGNTTAGTAGAAAACATGAAATAAGGATCAATTATTGTTGATTTGGCTGCTGAAACAGGAGGAAATTGTGAATTATGCAAACCAGGAGAATTATATAATCATTAAGGAAAAGTTAAAATTATTGGATATACTGATTTACCTAGCAGATTACCTACTTAAAGTTCAACATTATATGCTAATAATATTGGAAAATTGATGTAATACATTGTCGGAACAATCAAAGATCCAAATGGAAAAATGACATAAGTGGATTTGAATGATGATGTTGTAAGATAATCATTAGTAACATTAAATGGAGAATTGAAATGGCCACCTCCTCCTATCATTACATCTAAGAGTGAACTCTAATAAGCTGATACATCAAAAGCTGCTTCTCATAAAAAATAAGAAGTTAAAGTAGATCCATATAAATAAGCTTGGAAGAATGTAATTAATACATCAGCTTCACTTATGGCAATGATGGCTTTAGGTTATCAATCTCCAAATATGGAATTCTTAAAAATGTTAAATACTTTTGCTTTAGCAGGAATTGTGGGTTATCAAGTAGTTTGGGGTGTAACTCCAGCCCTACATTCACCACTTATGTCAGTTACAAATGCAGTATCTGGTATAATTATAGTTGGTGGTATGGAATTGATGGATGGAAAATATTTGCCAGGTTCTTTTACTGGGTTATTGGCAGCTATCTCTGTTGCTATAGCATCACTCAATATTTCTGGTGGTTTCTTAGTCACATAAAGAATGTTAAATATGTTTAGAAGACCCACTGATCCTGCTGAATACAATTATTTAATGGCATTAGCAGGTGCTACAGGAGTACTTGGATATTATGGTGGACTCTATTATGGAATTCCAAAAGAACCATTAACAAATCTTTCATATTTAGCTTCATCAATAGCTTGCATATTAGCACTTGCTGGATTATCACAATAATAGACAGCTAGAATTGGTAATAGTTTTGGTTGTTTGGGAGTTGGATTGGGTGTAGCTGCAACTTTAGGATATAAAGGATATTCTCCAGAATTATTAGCTTAATGGGCATCAATGGTTATGTTAGGTGCTACTATTGGAGGTACAGTTGCTACAAGAGTTGCTATTACTGATTTACCTTAATTAGTTGCTTGTTTCCATTCATTTGTTGGATTGGCAGCAGTATTAACATCTATTGGTAATTATTTACATGTATTCCCTCATTTGGCTGAAGATCCAGCTGCACTTGTTCATAAATTATCAATATTCTTTGGTATTTTTACAGGTGGTATTACATTTACTGGATCACTTATTGCCTTTGCTAAATTGTAAAATCTGTTGCCTTCAAATCCAACTGTTATTCCTTATCATAATTAAGTTAATATTGCATTAGCAGCCTTATCTGTTGCATCTTTATTAATATATAATTAAACAGGTAGTTTTGCTGTTGGAATGACAGCCTTATTAACAGCAACAGCTGCTAGTAAAGTTTTAGGAGTTACATTAACAAATGCTATAGGTGGTGCTGATATGCCAGTTGTAATTACTGTTTTGAATTCATATTCAGGATGGGCATTATGTGCTGAAGGTTTTATGTTAGATAATCCATTATTAACTATTGTTGGAGCATTGGTTGGATCATCAGGTGCTATTCTCTCTTATATTATGTGTAAAGCCATGAATAGAAATTTAACAAGTGTTATATTTGGTGGATTTGATGTTAATCCAGCTGCTATTTAATCTACTAAAGTTGAAGGTACTCACACTGAAATCAATGTTGAATAAGCTGTTGAAATGATGGTTGGTAGCAAATCTATCATCATTGTTCCTGGATATGGTTTGGCAGTTGCTAAAGCATAATATCCAGTTGCTGAAATGTGCAAGACACTTATTGATTAAGGAATTAAAGTTAGATTTGGTATCCATCCAGTTGCTGGAAGAATGCCTGGTTAATTAAATGTCTTATTAGCTGAAGCTGGTATTCCTTATGATATTGTGTTTGAAATGGATGAAATTAATGATGATTT